CCCCCACCCCCGAATAACCGATAGATAAAGTGACAAACTAGAACCCATAATAAATGGAGCGATTTGTAGTTAATCCAAGGTATATTGTCCATCAACAAATATACTTACTCTTCAAAATATTTCTTTCTCTTAGTTCTTGTGCAGTCGGTCGAGCGCTCAAGCGTCTAGTGACAAGAAGTATGAGACTAGGTTAATAAAACATCAAATATTGTAACTCGTTGACGTTTACCAAATGTTATGACTTGTTGATGAGAAAGATTTGTGATGGGGCCGGGGAGGTTGCAAGGGGAAGAGGGAGCTTTGGGAGAGGCAAACTGGGAATACATGGACTGGGGAAGAGGTGGACTGGATATAATAGAGAGTTTTAGATTTACGTTCACGGCAAACGTGAAACGTCAGTTCACCATTTAAAAATGATTCTAAATAGCTTAAAAAGTATCGTAAAAAAGTCCAAGTAGTAGAAAAACAAAAGAATATTTGTCTTTGGTGAGAAGGTTTGTAAAAGGTAAAGTAAAATACAGTATAACTATGAAAACATGGTCACGTTTGCCGTTTGCGGGGAGAAAAAAAGGCAATCTAAAACTCTCTGAGTAGCCGACGGAGGAGACTGGAGAGGAGGAAGAATTGAATGGTCTCCCCAGGTCATCTCTTTCCACTCCTCTGATAAAAACATAGAAGATGGAGCTTGGGACCTATTTTCTCTCTTCTCTCTCTTTTCAACCTTTCGTTTACGACACTTTTCTAACCCGATTTTCCATGCCTCCACTTCTATTAATTTTTCCTCCTGTTGTGATCGCGCGCTTTCTTATTTCAAACCTTTGACACCCGCATCAGACAAACCCTTGGACGAATGTTAGTATGATAATCCCTCGACTTCACAAAGAGTTATGGTAGTCCAAGGAACGTCTAAAGTCCCAAGGTGAATGTGTACATCGCGGTGGAAGTTACTTTGAAATAAAACAGTCATGAATATTACAATAGACTATCGCTATTGTCAAACCAATTTGAGACAAAATTATTTCGTAAAAAATTAATCAATGTCTTTTCTCAGCTCTTTTTTCTATTTTCGTTCCTTTTGAGAGCCTAGAGAACTGAGCTCCTTGGAAACATAACACGAGCACTTTTAAAACAATCACATCTTGCACAATCTCACTACTACAAATCTGTAATGCAAATCACTTGCACTCATCAAATTCGCTCAAATTCTGCAGTTTCAGTCATCCTTTTGAATTTGGATTGACTTTTATTAGATTTTGGATGAATAGCCTCTTTTGAATGGTGAAGAGATAACATATTGACAAGTGGGAAGTTTAGGAGGCATCTTCAGGAATACAAAGAGTTACTTTCGGATGACAACTAATCTCTTGAAAAATATTGGATTTCATAACTGATTTAGAATAACCTTAAATCAGAAATAAAATTGTTTTTCACAAAAAAGCAAAAATAAAAAATTTGTTTAACCATCGTTTTTTAAAAAACTAAATTAAAGAGAAATATAAAATAAAAGAAATTAAAACAAACACTTTCTGAGAGCTCAAAAATGGAAACTGAATTTCTAACTCACGAGAGAAAAAAATTATATAGTTATAAATACGTTTTATTTTCAGTTAGGAATGATAACACAAAATCACTTAATTCAGCGAATATGGGCTCAAGAAAAGTGGTTTAATTTTTGTAGAGTTTTGTCTTCAAGTAATTTGTGGTTATGAATGCACGAATGTTATATATTTGCAAATAAAATATATCCAAATCTTTACTGCAAAACTAGAATAAATTGCAGTCTTAGAGAGGAAGGATCTAAAATTAGAAGTTAATGTATCGTTTGTTGAGGTACTTACACAAACTTAAGAAATTTCGATACGAAATAGTACAGCGCTATTTCCACGTTCCAAACCAAGTCGCACAACATGCTGCAGTTCACATCTTGATTTAAGACCAAACACAAAACCTTTGCAATGCAACAGTCGACGAAGTACACAGTACTCAAGATAACATATAACATTCTCGGACTCGTGCAGTGTTCAATCCATTTCTCTACATGCAGGAGAAAATGTCAAGCATTTTTGAGACGCTCTCTAGGACCACAACACGCGAAGAAAAGCTTGAAATAAGTTGGAATATGGTTTCTGTGTGGATTAATATAGACCCCCTGAGGATTAAGGTATATGAGCTATTCCAAATGGAATATGAAATGCTATCGGAAGTGACGCGAACACCAGCTGTATTCCACTTTGCACACACACTCAGACGCACTAAAAATTGCCAATACTCATTCTGCCATCAATTTAACTAGTTTTAAATGCTGTAAAATTTGAGAAAAATGGAAAAAAAAATTTTCTGCCCCTTTTTCTTGGAAGTATCGAATAAGATCAAAATTTTCATTTTTTTTTCTACTCACATAAGCTATTTGAGTGCACCGGCTGTCAATAGCCCAACAGGTGACCACTAGAAGACAGGTTATTTATGACCAGCCAATCAGAGACGAGGGAAAAAATGTCACAAAATGTAAACCATTTGAGCAATTTTGAAGTGTTGTCAAAAAAAAATCGTATGAGGTGTAGATGATTTTTTCACTCATTATAGAAAGGCCTAAACATGGCAAGAGGTAAGAAAAAATCTCTCAAAATGACATAATTCTGCGCTAAGTAAATTAAAAACACCATTTGCGATAATTGTGACGTCAATCACAATTGAATTTTCTATCTAAATCAAAAACAGTCAGACAAGAAAAACGATGATTTATGCTTTAAGACTTAGACGATCAGTTCCCTAGGATCCGTCATACGCATCCTTAATGCTAAGACAATTAAAGACCTTTAAAAACGTCTAACTGTCGCTTCCGATCAATAATTTTGTTTAAAAGGATTTAAGGCGATCTAATGCCATCATTAAAAAAATTTAGCCATGCCCTGAATTTGTTCAGCCAAAGTGTTATTTCAGGGTTCGATCTATGAGTTTGCCATGCCCTGACTTAGATCAGCCCAAGGGTTGTTTCAGGGTTCCATCTGTGAGTTAGCCATGCCCTGACTTTGTTCAGCCAAAGGGTTATTTCAGGATTCAATCTATAAGGTAGCCATGCCCTGACTTAGATCAGCCCAAGGGCTGTTTCAGGGTTCGATCTGTGAGTTAACCATGCCCTAACTTAGATCAGCCAAGGTTTCAAGGTTCGATCTGTTAGTTAATAAAATTTGAATTTGAAGTTCACGTTTCATGCTATTCATTTCTTTACTTTTATGTTTTTTCTATTCCAAATCTTTTTGGGAAAAGATTCTTTGTTTGTTCACATTTATTTCTTTACTCGAGTGTACTGCTAACCAAGAAAATCATACTCAAGGTAATGATATATGAATCATTTCTCATACTCATTAATAATTCATGAGTAAACCAGCTAATCAATCGATTTTGGGTCACATGATGTTACTTGAAACCTGGTTAAGTCCTGTGAAAGGACTGAATTAATTTTGTTCAAGTCATTGGACTGGATCAAAATTAATTCAGTTCAGGGACATATCTGTCCCTTAAGTCTTTCAATCCTAAACAAATAACCTCCCAAATAATTAAGGAGTATGAGAAGTCATTTCAAAGTCTCCAAATCGAACTCGATGGGATTTCAAGTCCTTGCAATTAGTTGTGCAGAATTGAAATCCCGTCCAGTCCTCAGTGTTGGCTCTGAAATATTACTTAAAAAATAGCGTGTATTTCTTACAGTAAAATAGTTCCCACAATGCACTACAATGCCAACTCCGCCCAGTTTTTTCTCAACTACGGAATGGTGAATAACCAGGAGAGAAACCAAGTAATAGGTCAAAAATTTGCAAACTGTTATTTGTAATTTAAATTTATTCCGCTAACAAGTGAAAATGCGGCACTCCTGCCTCGCCATGCAAGTCCCGAATTACAACATAACCCTACACCATTAGAAAAAGTTATGTCAAGATGAAATACTGAAATGTAAAGAGAACTTTGAAATTTTTGTACATTTTTTCGTTTGAAGGGGCATGTGACCTATGGTGTAAATCAGAAAGTATCACTCATATTCATACCTCACAAGTTTGGATCCTACAGCTGCTCTTCGCTCGTGAATCTCTTCCTCTGTTTTAGCTGACAAAGAAATAGTAACTTTAGTCTAAAACTGTAACTATGCATGTATGGGAATGTTACTATTTAGATAGGGGAGATTGAGAAAAAATGAAACCAATGTTTAATTTTCCTTTGCAAGGAAATCAAGGGTGGCATCACTCCCCTTTTACCTCTGGGGTCTCGAGCTGGATTCCCAGACTTGGCATCACATGGGAACAGAGTTTGTTAGGTCTCTCCCTTGATTTAGGTTATTTTTCCAGGTTTGCTGGTTTTCCTCCCCCGACAAGACCTAACTCTTCCCTCCTCTGGATCAACTTCTTATATTAAATAACTAATGTATAAAATATGCTATTAAATAGACAATGGGCATCAAAGCCAACTAAGCACTCTGGGAAACAGATTAATGCAGAAACAACACAGGAACATCAAAGGAATTATCAGAAAATATTACTGTTCTTTTCATCTGTTGAAATGCATGCATTTCCAAAGAAACTTTTGAAGGAAAAATTGGCAGATGATGAGGCGTTGGAAAACATAAGTACTCTGTTTCTCATCATACTTTGTGCTCAAGATCCATATTCTGAAACTTTTATCAATTAAAAAATCTAAGATAGGCTTTACAGCAGGTTAACAAGTTAAAAGACAACAGGAACTCCAAAAACCTGTTTATCATTCATGCCCCAATATACAAGAATTAGAAAATAAAAATAAAAATAAAAATAAAAGGTTTGCTTGAATGAATACTCCAGTTTCGAGTGCTCTTTGCTCAGCCTTAGTCTCAGTTGTGTGTTATGATTTTCAGCTATTCAACCAAAACCCGTGGCATTTTAATAAACTTGTATTATTCTGTCATACGTGCATTCCTTACAAACGGGAGTATTGCAAATGGGAGTATTGCTTTAACATCTAATAATTTAATCTGGTCTCTACATAAATATTTATGTACAGAGAGTGAAGAATCTTAAGAGTAGTTAAAATATTATGGCTGCACATTTTTGGCAATGAAATCTTGTCATGCAAAAACATTTAATTGTTGCTGCTCAACAAGATCAGCAGCAAATAATATTGTGCCTGAGGATAATTGCATTGTAGTTGTGTGCTCGCATACAATAAGATTTGTTATCAATATTCACTACACTTTTTGATCTCAATATTTCTCAAAAATGCCCAACAGTGTTAAGAGAATTAACCAGAGACCCAGTGCTAAGTGCTATACCCTCAGGAATTCAAAATTTGAAGTTCACCTTGATGGTTGAAAGTATATAACCATTTTGTTATACTATTTACTTCATTTCAATATTAAAATTAAAAAGTATATGAAATTCACTATAGTTATTGGTAAAATAATATATGCACACCAACAACAACTAGGTAAAAAAATACTGATTAATCTTTTCACACTTTGAAGAGTACTGTCCAAAAAAGAGAAACAAATGGCCTCCATTTCGCAAGATAATGTTTCGTACTTATGAAACCCAAATGATAACATACTATCATCTAGTGAATATTGATGCTAGCAAAATTTGCATTTTAAACTTACACAATCCAAAGTTTTCATTTAACTGTATATGTGGCCCAACAAATGTCATAATTTGACGAAGAAATAACATATTTCTGTGACATCCACTGCAGTGATTCGATTATAGCCAAAAGATAACATAAATTCCTCTAAAATCCATCTCGTATCCAAGAAACGTATCTTCAAAATCCTTGAAATTCTTCTGTTGCATACAGTTATAATACTATGTCTCAACCAGTTAAAAAATAACAGCTTTTAATTGGATAGTCCTCTAATTTTTGACAGTTTGGTTCATTCCTATTGGAGAACAGGTGTGGGATGTCATTAAGAATTCAAGACAGAAGACTTTACCTAGAGGGACATAATACCATAACACATTAAAATTTATAATTCGAAACTTCTTTCAGGAATTAACATTTTAAAAATATAATGATTTTCAAGCTTAACACATTAGTTTTTTTTCTCTCCTGATAAAGTTATGAGGTTTAAGATTCTCAAGTTTAAAACCTTTAAGCTATAAATCGTGCAACAATAAATATTGGAAGAGGAATAATCTTAAGAAATCTTGAAGTTATTTCAAGGTAATTATTTTTCAACTCAGATTATCTTTTGAGGAATATGAAGTGGGAGGTTTAGGGTTTTAAGGAACAATAAAATTATCACCTAGCACTAGGTCAATAACCATATGATTAAAACTAGAAGAAAGGACAAAATTTTAACACTAAATTTATCACTTTACTTATTTTTTAATTTTATTTAAAAAATTTAAAAACAATTTCTTCATGTTCCTATGCAACAGAATTCAAAACAGAGTTTAAAAAAATACAGGAATATTATTGTATATGTTTTTTGTGGTGTATAAAAATATGGTTACTGAACGAGACTACTTGGGTGGAACCACTATATTTGACAATCCCACACATACTATACAATAGCTTCGGAAAGCTTAAATAATTGGGGCAGACCATATATATAATTGATCAAATTATGGCCTGCTGTGAACATAGGGAATTATAGTTTTGTAATACATTCTTCAATATGAATTCAAAATCTTTTTAAGTTATTATTCCTAAGACAAAGAAAGAAAAGATCATTTGAATGGAAATAAAGAATTATAGAAAGAGAAGAAAACAAATGTCTGGAAACTTTCCAAAAGGCTTAAAAATATCCAATAAATGAAAACCCCTGTGAAATAAAACACTATCAACTCAAATTGCACCTTTTTAATATTTCAGGATTAAACTGTTGATTATTAATTGAAAGTATAAATAAAGTGTAGCAATAAAATCAAAGAGAATAAATAATGAAAGCAAAAACTAAACAACACAAAAATAATTCTCCCAACCAGGGATGATAGATAGATATATTACATGAACAGTGAGCTCATCAGATATGGTATTTTGGGCAATAATGTGTGTAAAAATAAAGTAAACTAGCTATAATAAGACTAAAGATTACTAGGTCCAAATTATTAATTTAAAAAAATTACATAATTATTTGGAATTACAGGGTTTTACACTTACAGCATTTTCAGGATTCTGTACTTAAAAAAAGGTTTTCAGCCAATAGAGTATACTCTCACAAAAAGTAATAATTCTAAACATTTGAGATGACATTTATATTGCAAATTTTTAAATATCAAAATTATATTTAATATATATAACAGTTTTCATGTACCAATAGGTTTTATGTCATTAAATAATGAACTGCCAGCCCCATCCCTTTTTACCTTGAGCATAATGCTTTCCCATTTCATACCACATGTTATTCCCTAGAGAATCATTTCTTTGTTTAACAGCTAATTAACATCAGGAAACACATGAATATGGACACAGCTCAAACAAAGAATCTTATTCTCAAGGTCCAATGACAGGTGGTCAGGAATGGGAAAACAGCACATCCAAAGTAAAGAACTTAGTCTATTGGAGCAAAAACAATTATTTGCTAACTTACTTGGTAAGATGTTCCGGTCTTCCAAATCTTTCTTTGTTGGTCTTGCCCTTAGTTTGATAGCAAGGCTGTCAGATCGCTTGACTTTTGATGCCAAACCTTTAACCAAACACATAAAATATTCATCAATTGAGAGCCACCTGAAAATTATGTTTTAACCGTGTCACCTGACCAATAAAGTTGTTAATATTATCAAATAGGGTAAGTGGTAAAGTCTTTCTATCCTAAGGTGACTCCCTACTATATAYTGAACCTTAAATTTCCAGGGGTTTCATTGAGTTTTGAAATGAGAAAGTCATGCACTATCTGGAGAATTTTTGGGACCATTCGTAAATAGACAAGTTTTGACTTCCAAAATACCACTGTGTTCCTTGATCACAGTCTCATTTACTCAGAGCTAGCCTCGTATTAGTGTCTAAATATTCACAAATACCAACGGTAAAGTAAAGAATGCACAACTTTGAAATTCATTTGAACTACGCTGGAACATATGAATATTAAGTCAAGGCTAACCCTGAGCAGCAGAGAACTTGGATTGGAGTATCTATAACCTATTAACTATAATTTTCATAAACATGCAAACTCTGTGTCTGCAAGCTGCACACTGGAATTTGTTTTTTGCTGCTGCCAATCAAACCTAATCAGTAGGTATCTTTTATATTTTTTGACTGGCGACAGAAAAAAAAAAAAAATTTCAGCGCACAACTCCAAGACACTCTGAGAGAGTTCGCATGTTTATGAAAATTGCAGTAATGGTAACTTTCTCTACAGGGATTGGCTTGAATACATATGAATAGGATTGAAGTCATAACAAGTGAAGCCAATAACTTGATGTCTGTAAGAATAACTTACCAGTTATGACGCCCTCCTCCTCTTCTTCTTCATCTGATGAAGAATCTCCGCATACTTTATTTTCAGATTCTGCCAGGGGTATTTTAGGTTTAGGCTTTGGTGAGTCTCTTCTTACTGGAAGTCGTATGCCACATTTGTAGCGCACCTCGCTACGATTTTCTTCTTGATCAGAATCACTGTCCTGATTTTCGCTATCTTTTGTGAATGCAGCTCTGTAAAAGAACAAAAAAATTTTGAAAATACTATATGGACAGATACAGTGATAGATCGATGGAGGGATTGATTGAGAGAAGGAAGGAGGGATGGGTGGGTACGTGGGTGGGTGGGTTGGTGGATGGATGGATTTGAGGGAGGACTGATGGAGGGATAGATCAATGGAGATAAGATAAAGTAAAGCATTTCACTTCAAAAATCTTACAGGAATAATCATAATATATATAATAATTGTAGGAATATATAATTATATAATAATTATTTTTATATCATTTTATATGTTATGTATTTTTATATAATAAGGTAGGAATATATAACTACTTAATAAATTTTTTATATAAAATTGTACTGACCGTTTGATCTTTTTTATCGGTTTTTCTGGTCTTTTATCAGTGATTCCTCTTTTCGCTGAAAACAACAACATGTGTACTTCAGTGTACAAATATAGCTGCATGTCCGTTCCACAACCAAGACTCCCACAGACAACAGGGGTGAAAGGTGCTCATGCACTCTCACTGTCATACAACGACATGTGTACTTCAGTGTACAAATGTAGCGGCATGACCGTTCCACAACCAAGACTCCCACAGACCACAGGGGTGAAAGGTGCTCATGCACTCTCACTCTCATACCCCATGTTGTTTCTCTGGGAATCAAGGATGGCATACTACGGATCTCACGGAACTGTGGTGACATGTCAAAAATTTGTCTCGCTACAACACACCCTAATTCRTCTACTGTCAAGCCTACTTTTGTTAAATGCAATGTGCTAGATCCGAGACAGTGACAAAAGTAGGCATGTCAGTGCACAAATTAGGGTGTGGTAGCAAGACAAATTTTTGACGTGTTGCCACAGTTTGGTGAGATCTGTAGTAGTTGTAGTACACTTGCCTCTCACCYCTGGAGTCTCTGGTTTGATTACTGGACTCAACGTCACATGTGAGTAGAGTTTGTTAGGTGTTTCCCTTAATTCAAGAGGTTTTTTCCAAGTTTTTTCCAGTTTTCCTCCCTCAACAACTAATGTCAATTCAATCTGTGAGTTAGCCGTGCCCTGACTTAGATTAGCCCAGAGGTTGTTTCAGGGTTCAATGTGTGTTAGCCGTGCCCTGACCTTGATCAGCCCAGAGGTTGCTTCAGGGTTCAATCTGTGTTAGCTGTGCCCTGACCTTGATCAGCCCAGAGGTTGTTTCAGGGTTCAATGTGTGTTAGCCGTGCACTGACTTTGATCAGTTCAGAGGTTGTTAACAAGGTCTTTTTTAAATTTGAAGATTATTTCTCTTCTAACCTAATTCTTTAGCCAACTGATCCATCATGCTTCCTTGATCTACTTGCTTCACCATCAGCTCCTTCTCAACCTTCTCTTCATGAGATCTTCTTGGCAACGGCGAAGGCTTAAGGATACTAACAAGCTTTTTTTCTCCATCTTTAAAAGGTTTTGGAGCAACTGCAGGTGATTCTCTAGGAGTCTCTTCAACCTCTGTTATTGTTCCATTTGGATGCGAGTTCACTTCTTCAAAATTGGAAAAAATTTAAATGTCAGAAATGGCCTTGTCTGCCATTGCTTTGAAAACACACAAAGTTTGAATGTTTTACTATAAAGGTGGTATAGCAATGAGTTTAAAACCTTATGATGAAAATATATGTCACTTCTAATGTACTTGCGCGAAGTACTTTGTTTTAGCTGAAAAATAATATACCTGTTGCTTTACATTGATCTTATTTTGGTAAAGCAAAAAGCAAACAAATAAACATAACAACAACAACAACAACAACAACAACAACAAAGAAATTATATATATTTTAAAAAAAATACTAAAATCTAAAATCTGATCCAAAAGTAAACAGTTACTGATAGAGGCTTTGCACCATCACGTGACAGCAGCCATATTAGATGGCAGTGACAATACAATCGTTTTACATGAGAAAGAATTCCAATCCCAAGAGCAAAGGGAATTTATTGTTTTGCCATCCAACCACATGCAGTCCAAGCTGTATTACTGGTGAAGGCATGTGATGGTGTAAAGCCTCTATACTGGAATTCATCCAGTAAAAACCATAGAATGAGCCACTAGTATTTTGATAGCTATAGAAGCTGTTTGCCCCATGCTCTATGCCAGCACCACCACCATTTCATCTAAAAAATTCCTCTGCCATCCTTATGTTTCAGTAGTGACAGACTAAATACTTGTCTAATCACTAACCTTCATCATAGTTATTATTAGGAATGATCCCTTTTCTGACTAAATCCTCACGTTTTGACCTCACGGACAACTGTCTTTCCAGATCTGCAAAAGTTATGAAGTAAAAAAGTTAGAGTGATATCAGCAATAGCAGAAATAACATTTATGCATTTGCTATATCACTCTTAAATATTACACATTTAGACTCAATTTTAATTTATTTCTTGTACGATCACTCAACCAGAATATAAGCTAACTATTCTCTGAGATTTCTGGCAACAGTGTATCAACATAAAATAATTGCACCTCAATAATGGAAATGTTGTGAACAAAATTCACAGATGCAAAGATGAAAAAATTAAAATATATATATTGCATCTCAAAGAAACAAAAGTCAGCTCTTAAACAGGTACTTCTCATGCTAATACATGATTGCAAAAACAAATTTTACAACTGAATAATTTAAGCTCTACTAAAATAAGGTTAATAACAAAAACAAAATGCTATATTAAGTTTGTTTTTTTTCAAAAATTATGATGAATTTGCAAAAAAAAATTTCTGATAGTCGCATTTTTTCAGATGCAGGTGAAATAATAAGTCTATTTTAAGTCATGGAACGTATGCGAACAAAGCAATTTATTTAATGAATGGAGAAGAATGTCATAAAAAGACAAATTTAAAGGATTTTTCCTTGTTGCAAATAGGACAAATAAATAATTGCAAGAAAAATCCCCCACAATTGAGATAAAATCCTCAGGCTAAAGTAAAAAAAAAAACAACACGTTCCTAAAGCTTTAATTTGCTCTGTGTTTAATATATTCAATTGCAAATATTTTTCAATAATTGTGAATCTTTTACTTGAAAAGCTAACTAATTTCCTTTCAAAAGCAAGTTGAATAAGATAATCTATTAAAAAGATTTTTTTTTGAATATTCTCTGCAATTTTTAAAGGTCAAGGGCTAACAGCCAGAGCTGATCTGTAGTTTTTTTAGAAATTCTATTTCAAACACAATTTTTACTTCATCTTGAAACAATTTCAAATAAAGTGGGAGTCATTTGAGAAAATGGTAGACATCTATACTCCTTAAAGCTACAGCTCTTGAAATTGACAAGGTCTGTTATATAGTATGTACATTTCATTAATTTATACTGTGAACATCGTCGAAATCGAAATTTCCGAGAAAGATTACTGTAATTACGTGCAGAACGAATAGTATTATTAGAGTATACATAAATAATGTTCTATGCTCAATTCTCAGGATATTTATTTCGATTTAGGAGGGAATTTCACACTTTTGAAGAATTAAAGAAAACGAGAAGAAAGATTGAAAAGTTACGGAGCGTGTTTTAAGGATAATATAATGTTTAAATCATTCATTCTTTTTTCGATGACTATGACAACTTTATCCCTCGAAATAATAGCTTTTGTAACGAAAGATTCAATAAAATGTCGATATAACGAGCTACACAGTATTACAATATATATAGACAAATATTGATATACAAAAGGAAAAAAACAGAGGAGTTTTGAGTGATGTTCAACGAGGTATGTTAAAGAATAAAATGAATAAAACAAGAATATTCTAGCATGTTTGACTTTCGTGAGTTTTTAATACGGCAGGTTGATGTGATAGAAACACAGGATTTCCTTTTGAACGGCATAATCACCTTCGCAACGTAGAAGCGATTAAGACGACTCCTAAATTTCCTTAAAATGACTTTAAAACAAGCACCAAATATCACAAATGAAGATAAAACCTCAAAACGATAGACTCCCCGTTCAACACTCTCCATAACAGAGCAGTTCTTCGTCAAACTATAAAAATTTTTCCCAACTTCGCCGAGGAAAAACAGTCCCCAAAATTCCATCGTTTTACAAAGACGTAAAGACTCATTAAAAGAGTAATCGAAAACTCACTTTGGGAAGTTGCTATGAATCGATCGCTCTTCTTTCTTTTACGCCATTTCCATGGGCGAAGAAACTTTCCGAGGCTTGAAGCGAATTTATTCTTTCGAACTGGCTGTGGAGTTCCAACAACGTCTCTCTCGATAGTCGAAGACACGAGACCGTTTCTTGGGCCGTTTGTCTGAGCTATATTCCCGTTCATGGCGAAATTTCCCTTCCTAATACACGGGTCGCTCGTAGATCGTTCACGGTCGAGGTTCGAAGAGTCCGCTATGCTTGATATTCTATCATTCTTTAGTCTTTCTTCCTCCATATCTGAAATTAAAACTTAGTTTATATTAATCTCAGTCACGGACCGACCCAGTCCCTCACGGATCGTCTCTTAATGACTCAACCGCACTACGCGGAACGCCTGGTGATAACTGACATCCTCTTTCTATTTGCTCATTATTTCTTAGAAAGAGCCTAAACGATGCTATATTATGTGAAAAATACCTTAAGCGTCGAGATTTGAGTTTTTAAGGAGAGGAGGAAATTGTGTAGACTAATTAATTAAAGTTTGAGCCCGCAGACTTAGGAGGACTTCCGGTTATAACCATATTTGGTCTATATATGTATATATATATATATACGATTATTTACGATAAGTTTAAGCTTGCGTAGCAGCTCACGTAGCAACTACGTAGCATCTTTAGGTAAAAGATACATGACACTATAGTTGCAGTTAATGGTAGGAAAACATTTTCTATTTGCTGACACTATTTTGCTGACACAAATCATTTAATTTAAATATCAATTATTCCAATTTTTCTATAGGCAGATAAATGGATTAGACACGTCATCAAGTGCTTGGAAGAAATGCCTCACAAATGCCTTTATTTTCATTCAAAAAGCTTGCTGTCTCCAAAGCCTGTCTGGTAATTCTAATATTAACAGTTGTCATTGGAGACTATTTGAGCTTTTATAAAACTTCTGTGACTTGGAAGATACCTGACAGAGAAGAGGATGGCTCATTATGTGTGCTTGCTGTTTCTGACCCACAGATTCAGGTAAACATGAATTTCATAATTACAATTTTTATTTAACTTCTAGCTCTTTATATCTCTTTTTTCATCTTATCTGTTACTGATAGTTGTTTTATCAAAGGGAAGAACTGCTGGATTTTAATTTGAAAGACCTGGATTTTATCAAACTTTTAAACAACTTAACTATCTTGAAATGTGCACACTTCATAGTTGCATCAATTGTTATTGCTACAACTGACTATGTGTGACTAGCTATGGGAAGAGTTAGTAATAAATATGGATTAAAACCCTGTTGTAGATAATTATTTATTATTCAATCTTATGGTTAATTATTAATTATGATTAGGGTTTTAATGGTGAGTTACCAAGCATCCTTGGGTACATCACAAGGTGGGACGCTGATCGATATCTGAGCCATGCCTTCGAAGCAGCTGTTAAGTTTGTTAAGCCTGATGTGATTATATTTTTAGGTAAGTCTACATAGCACAGATGCTGACTTTGGGAAACTATAATTTCAAGTTAGAGTGCTCACACTAAATCCGTGAAACAAATACTAATTTTTRGCACTAAATAGTGATAATYAAACACTAGAAAACAAAGGATTCTGTATGARATAGTACTAATTAGCACTATTTAATGKTCACGGTTTTAGTGCGTGCACTCTATCTGATTTGGTTGAGCATGATTACAATGATCTTCGTTATTCGTATGCAGGGGACCTCTTGGATGAAGGATTTGAATCTACGAATGAAGAATTCAGTGTATATACAGTAAGTATATAGAGTCTCAGTCTAGCTGCAAGTTTTTGTGCTATGAGAAAAGTTGTCTTCTTTTAGGTGTGTGTGGTGCATTAATTCCTGCAGTGCAAGATCCTGAGGCAGCTACGAACCAAAGTTTAATTGGTACTAGGGGAATATTTAAAGTATAATCAATGTTTTGCTTGAGATTAACATTTTCCCATTTCACACCATGTATTTTTATTTTATAAGATTCTTTCTTTGAATTGTATCAATTTCCATGTGTTTTCTCATTTGCAACTGTTAAATGAAGAAATGATACTCTAGGGAATGGTAATTATGTGATATGAAATGGAAAAATGTTAAGCCCAAGCTAAATCTATACTACATGTATTCTAAAATCAGTAGGAATACATTATAAAATAATAATCAAATATTTGATGTTATCTAGCAAAGATTTGATAGAATCTTCAATGTGCCAAATGATATCCACAAGATTTACCTGGCAGGGGACAATGACATTGGTGGCGAAGGTCCTGATGTTCTGTCATCACAAACAGTTGGACGATTCACCAAGCATTTTGGACCACTGAATGACATCATCAATATCAAGTCCTTTCAATTTGTAAAAGTAAGAAAAATTCCTGCCCAATGCTTTAAGGCTGGTCCTGACTGGTCTCATTGTATTGACAGGCTGCATGTTGATCAACCTAATCATATCGCTGCAAGGGCTGATCCAGGAGAAGGGTCCAGGGATCCAGACCCCCATTACGACTTGTTGTTTTCTCCTTTTTTTAACATACAATATAATACAGAGATTCTTTACACTACACTGTATGATATCGTAAATCTTTTCTATTTAAAGTCATGACTCTTATGTAGGTTTATAAATTGAAAGCCAAATCACGTTGTCATGTTACGTTGTGATAGGTTACGACTGGTATAGTATATGTATGACATAAAAAAGGACAACCTTTATTAAGTAGTATTTATAGATTTTGGCTTTTTGACGCCCCTGAAAAAATCCTGGATCCGCCTTTTTGTGCCAATCATCATGTTTTGCCATTTATCATTAATTTTTGGCCATTTAGTAACCATTAGTTTTAGCCAATTCTATTTGCTATTAAACATGAATAGTCCTTAACCTCACTTTTTTGTCTTGCACTACAGATCAATACGGTTAGTTTCCTAAGGTTTTCTGTACCAGCATATAAGGAAGAGAAAGAGACATATAATGCCACACTTCAGTTCATTCATGGAATATCATCACGCATGAAGGATGACACCACAACCATTGTACTTGCACATGCGCCTTTGCCGAACATGCCTTCTGATCTTTACCATGAGGTGATATGTGGGGGATGTACTGTATATGATGTCAAACGTAACCAAATAAGCTATTCAGAGAATGATTGAAGGGAAAAGGTTGAACCAATAGGCCACATTTCTAGCAAAATTTTCTGTTATTACCAATAATACCAATGTATAGTTCCAGAAATTATCCACCCCACCATGAAATGGAGGATTTTTTTAAAGACCTTCCTACTGCCAGAAATTCCAATTTTCTCCCATACAAACTCTTTAATTGGGTTCTATGTCTGACCCCCTATTCCTGTATATGTTTGTTTTTTCAGAAATTTTGATTTTTTAATATCTTTTTTATTTTCACAGTTCATTTCTAAAACGAAGCCGAAAATCTCTCTTGCAGGTCATTTGCATAAGGTAGACAAACACAAATGTGGCATTCATTGCTTTAAAGAATTTTGTTCTAAGCACAGAGTTTCGCTTTTTGATCCCCTCCTTATATTTTTTTTGATTAATGAAATAACTTATGAATTTTTTAATGAACCTTAATTCCTTGTACGATTGAAAATAGCTAATGAATTTTCTTCATTTTTTAACTTAATCATTAATTTAACCACTTACGCGAATATATGTTCTTCGGCTCATTACTAGACTCTTCACTTCATCAAATGACAGCAGGCTATCATTGACAAGGATCAACACAAATATGCAAATTTGTAATGACAGCTTTATTAAATTTTAGTTTTCTTGGTTCAAATCAACAGCACCTCCAAGTTTACCATCGAATTAAAAACCCAGTAGCCACCTTCTGGGAGTACGTCATACCGACATGTAGCTATCGTATGGGTACCAGGCAAATAGGTTTTGGGGTATTAATTGTTGGTAAGTTTGTGCTCATCTATCTTGTTACGAGTTATACCAGTTGCTACCACAAGTGATGTCACCACTGTAATCGCTGTCTTTTAAAAACTGAGCAGAAGGTGCTGGTTGTGGTTGTGGTTGCTGTTTCTATAGTTGCTGCTGCTGCTGATGTTATTGCTGCTGCTGCTGTTGTTGTTGTTGCTGCTGCTGTTGTTGTTGCTGCTGCTGCTGCTGCTGCTACTGATGTTGATGCTGCAGATTTTGTTGCTGCAGCTGTCGTTGGTGTTATTATTTATTATTGCTATTTTAGTATAAATATTATAAATATATATAGTTGATGTATTTGAAATTTCCCTTTTCTTTTTTCTTTTTTCCCCAGAAAACAACGCTAAACCAAAGTTATCAATTCTCAAGTTACCTGATCGATATTTTTACCTTTTTGGCCATCTATTACTGTCTTGTTTCACACTCTTTGTCTTAATTATAAGGTTTGCCAGAAGATTCTTGATGTCTTTAATATGGAAAGCTATTCGTTTGCTAAAGAAAGTGTTTAGAAAACATATTATGCGAAAAAATTTATAGATTTAAGAAAATTATGAATTTATATTTTTGACCAGTTAAAGGTCTATTTTTTCCATAATAAAAATTGGATACTTATAAAGCTGCATTTCTTGTTGAAAAATCCATGATATATTGCATACTATATCTATTTTTATATTGTTATGAGGATTCTATTATATTTAGAAATAAAAAATATTTTTCGAGAAAAAGTATAAAAGTGCTTTGTTCATACCATTTATAGATATATAAAAATAACTTAACTTATTAATTGGCAGAAAATAAAAGTACTAATATAACTTTTAAGAATATCAAAGCTAATCCAGTCCAATATCAGTGTTATCGAACCTGGGGGAAAACTCAGTCAGAGTACAGTGAAGAACTCGAATCAAGGGACAAACGACTAACTCTTTCCTTTTATTGCCATGCATTTGTTTGATATATAGAAGTTAGAGCTCAAACTTTTGCTGGGGAGACTTGTTCTAAGATTATACTTCTTTAGTTGATTTAATAACCGGAGACCATACTCCCAGACCTAAATGCTGAAGCGTCGTATGGCAGCGCGAAGCATTTACGGCTACGCCAGAGATTTCGACCCCAACACCGCTATCCCTGGATTTACAGACTGATCAGGAAGCTCGGCAGAAGCCTAAGGGAGAGGTTAGTCGGCCCCTAGGCCATAGATGATTAACCCCTTGCTATGACCAGCATACCCAATTTGATGCCAGTTGCACTGATGACTAAATAAGCATGGTCACTTCCTTCCATGTGGGACGCGTATTGGAAAAAATAGCCGTGAATTTGTGCAAACTCATTGAAATAAAGAAAGGGTTTATAATTTTGATATCCATTGAAAGGATAAAAATACATGAAAAGAAAAGGCAGGAGGTGCAGTCTTTCATTCATGAAGTCCAAAATCCCGAGCGGCGCATGTGCACGAGCACTTGGTATGGAAATCTCGGATCAGTCCGAACTCCTTGTAAGATGCTTTAGTGATTTTGACGACTTTTAAAAAATTGGAAAAATTTTTGGTTTTAATAAAAAAAACGCACTGTGATTAGATTTTTGAGACTGAAAACATGGGATCTGTTTCATGGGAATGGGAATGGGATCGGGAAATGAGAGTCATCAGCTGCCTGTGCCGAGGAAAAACTGCAAACACGTCTAATCCTTTAACGCTCGTAATCTCTATGAGAATAGAATACTTAAAATCGATTAAAATTCGTTCTAGTCTAGAAATCGTCGGAAACTAAACCAAGCTACTCTACGACTCAAGTCAATATATGATAGGCCCGCACCAAATACCGCTCCCAAATCGGGAAAAAAATTCAGGTCTCCCAGACAACCCTTCCCCATCCCCGCGTCAGTCCGTCCGTTCGCGCTGAAAAATTTATAATCTGCAGCAATTTTACTATGAAGAAAACTTCGTAAGTAATTTTTCTTTGCCCATTTATATATATTATCCCGCCAAATATGTAAATGTTCCAGTCTGAAACGTAACGCGCATAAATTATATAGTTTCTTGACTGTCTTTGTATGGGAGGCCTGTGGTTAAGAATCCGTTGCGAAATTTATACATACCGTAGTCAAAGGGAAACAAAAAGTATACCGAAAATCAACTAAATCTTCCCCAAACAAAATGGCTGTCAACGTTTTCGCTTCGAGTCAAACAACAGACAATCTTAGTCGACACGAACTGATGCAGTGGGTCAACGATAGCCTTCAACTACAGTACCAAAAAGTCGAACAAATGTGCACGGGTCGGTAGTCCGCCATTTTGATTTTGGTTTGGTTGACATTATTGTTCACATTTTTGTACACTTGGAAAAAACCTTTCTTTGATTTTTCTCCCGGTTTATTGCTCCTAAAGGGGTATTTATTTATTGTTCTTTTATTTTCAGGGGCTGCTTATTGTCAATTCATGGATATGCTATTCGAAAGTAGGTCTTGTAAAAAATTGGGTGTCTTCATATTTTCTCGTTTAGTCATAAACAAATTGTACAGTTCAATTTATTATTTATCTAGTAGAGTTACTCCTATTTGTAGTTCATTGACTAGCTTCATAACTACTCTTCCTGTTTTTACGTTCTTTAGACTGTGTCAATCTCAAGAAAGTAAAGTTCGGAGCAAAGCAAGAACACGACTACATCAACAATTTCAAACAATTGCAGCTTGCGTTTAAGAAGAGCGCTGTCGATAAAGTAAGTACAYATGTCACCCACGTGCTTCGAAAATTAACCTTTATTCTTCTAAAATCAAAATTTTCTGTTAACTCCTTAAATTTGAAGTAAATTGCTAGACATTTTTATATCTTCTTTACCAAGCCCTTTACAAAATGACGTAATCTTTGAATTTAGACAAAACTTTGACTTACAGTTCACTGAATGAATGACCGGTTCGATAATGGTAATAAAATACTCTCATAAAACACGAAATCTAGCCACCACAGCAATTTTCAATTCTTCTCTTTATCATTCTAATATCTATACATTTAAGTTCGATATAATATATATAGTATGTATATATTTATACTATGATGTAGAGAGTGACACCCATTGTTTTGAAAGGACATGTTTCATTATGTCTTCAGTTCAGCATATGACGCGGATAATATTTAACTTTCACGGCTTCAGCAATATTTTCTTGTCTACATATCTCTAAATTTTTCCTTTAAACTTTGTTAATTTTCAACTCAGGAGATATTTTTCAATGAAACCCTGAAACAACCAGGCTAGTTCAAGTCAAGGCACAGCTACTAAACTTACAGCTTAAACCCTGAAACGACCTTTAAGGCTAATCTATATCAGGGCACAGCTAACTCTCAGGCAGAACCCTGAAACAACATCTAGGCTAATCCATAGAGTGAGTGCACTAAATCCCTGCCCAATAATTAGTACTAATTAGTACTATTTCATACATAAATCCTTTGTTTTCTATTGTTTAGTTATCACTATTTAGTGCTAAAAATTAGTATTAGTTTCACGGGTTTAGTGCGAGCACTCTATCAGGGCACGCTTAACTTACAATATTAGTAGAAAGAGAAAAAAGAGAACTGAGAAACAAAAACCCTTGACTCAAGTTAGAGACCCAACAAGCTTCACTCCCATGTAATAATAATAATATCTGACGAAATATTGTCATTTGTCTATCTAAATGCCTCTTAGGCTCAAGTCCTCTTGACTGGCCACATTGCCTGGTCACATTACCTGGTTACATTGACTGGTCACATTTAGATCAGTCTGATGTGGCTGGTCACAAGTGCTGCCATCATATTCAATCGAATTATTTTTCATATTTTATCAGGTTATTCCAGTCGATAAGCTTGTGAAGGGAAGATTTCAGGATAATTTTGAGTTTTTACAGTGGTTCAAAAAGTTCTTTGACGCTAATTATGGTGGACAAGAATATGATCCTGTAGCTGCTCGTCATGGACAAACAGACGTAGAAGTTAACGTCATTAAGAGAAAACCAGTTGGTGGATCAGGGGGTAATATTGGTGAGTACTTCAAATCCTTAAATTTTACCAAACCCTTAACCAACTTTTGGGCTGATCAGTGGGTCAGTAAATAAATATATGGTCTACTGTGTAGAGACAGAGACTAGCTTGTTCAAACCCTGTTTGTAGTGTTCATCATTCCGTTCATTATATCTGAATAAATCGTCTTTTAATGAGGAAATGGATGAACTCTTATCTAGATCAGGGCTTGGATAACTCACAGATCGAACCCTGAAACAACCTCTGGGCTGATCAAAGTAATGGCATGACTAACTCACAGGTTGAACCCTGGAACCACCTCTGGGCTGATCATAGTAATGGCACAGATAACTTAAAATTCTAAAACGACCTTTGGGCTGATTAAAGTCAGTGAACTCACAGATCTGATTGGAATTTAGTGTGTTAGTTTTTGAGGAGGGAGGAAGACGGGAAACCAAGGGTGAGACCTAACATACTTTACTTTAATGATTGAAATTGAACTTGAGAGCCTAGAGGTGAGAGTAGAGTCAAGAAATTCTTGAAGTCGTAACAACATGAACACAGCTCTATAAAATTTTTTTAATTTTTTAATACTTCAAAAATTTGAGAAGAATATATATCATCAAAGACCATCTAAACTTTTGTTGTTTTTTTTTTAATTCTAGCTGCACAAAGTTATCAAAGTACCACAAAGAAAACAAGTCGCACGGGGATATCAAAGGCAACACCATCCGTCAAGGCTGCTCCTCTGTCCAGTGCTGGTGGTGGTGGTAACTCATCACAGAAAGACGCTAAAATTAGAGAACTAACAGAAGAGGTGGGAGAGGCACTTGTCTATCATATTTATGGTGTCTTTCATATTTATGTTCTTATGAATACTATGAACATTATATAAATTTGAAAACTCATAATAGATGATACGAATGTCTTCTCTACCCTAACCTGGAAATAGGCAATACTTAACTCCTCACTTACCCCAACGATTCCTCCCTCTTTCCACCTCCCTTAGGAGGGGAAGCCACAGGCATGTTGTCTTCCATTTAAGGTGGCTGGACCCCCTCACGCTTGACCGCTACCTTCCACTTTTGGAACGCTGGTGCATAAACGTGTTTTATCCGATTGCAAATCTTTTTTGCACATAAGTCACATAAAGATTGAATTAATGCTTGATGAAATTTTTAATGAGATCAGATGTCATAACACGTGATTATGATGAAATATTTGTTTTCGTTTAAAAAATAATTTTAGCCTTGCAGAGCGTTCAACACTAAAATGCTTCTTACCACATAATTATATACTAGATGCCTCCATTTGTAGGGATTTTTGAAAAAATCTATCAAGCTAATTATGAGATATTCGAGATTATTTAAATATATGCACCAGCGTTCCAAAAGTGGAAGGTAGCGGTCAAGCGTGAGGGGGTCCAGCCACCTTAACTTCAGTGGTGAATTCAGGGGGGGAGGGGTCAGGTGAATCCAGATCCCCTGTCATACCATGAGGTTCAAGGACTGTTTTATCCTATATTTTAGTTTTGCCACAGATTTAAACTTTTTTTGGAGGGGGATATATAGCAGTGTGTGGTTGTGAAAATGTCCAACAGGTTTTGCTAGGAAAACATTTGGACCTCCACTCAAAAATCACTGGATCTGTCCTTGTATCTGACCCTAAACATTAGAAACAATGGCAGAATCTCTTATAGAACTTTTTGTTTGGACCTTTGTTTCCAGTTGGATGAAATGAAAACAACTGTGGAGGGACTAGAAAAGGAAAGAGATTTCTATTTTGGAAAGTTAAGAGATATTGAAGTGTTTTGTCAAGAAGGTTCTGACGTCTATGGCCCTGAAAAGGAGACTATCAAAAAAGTGTTAGCAGTATTGTATGCAACAGAGGTAAGTAATTATTGTAACAAAGTATCTCTTCATTGCTAGTTTTACGAACATACACTCTTACAAAGTTACTTTGGTTCTTGATATTCTGCAAACGGCTTGTCATCAGAAGATTGGCAATATATCATATTAGCTGCAAGTTCTTGGCCAATCAGAGGAAAGATAGCGAGTAAAAATATAACCATTATCTTCTTTTGTAAACAGGATGGTTTTGCACCTCCAGAAGGAGAACAAGAAGAACAAGAAGAATACTAACTCAGAAATCCCTGTCAATATCATTAATATGCTCCAGATTGCAGAACAACTAATCTGAACAAACCTTAAATGTCATCTTATTGGTCTCTTTYCTTTTACTGACCAACAATACACAAACAATGTTACTGTAAATTACCAATTAAGTTTATTTCACTGAAATTCCCAAAATACAACTTAACATTACCATATTTGCTAGATGAGTTGATTTCAGTTTGCCTTGTGCCGTGGCATCTCTTACCATGTGTAAGTAGTAAACAGTCAGTTTTGTCAATTCAGTTAGAGTACGATTTGCATAAGAACTGTATCGCAGTAACCAAAATGTTTTGCTAAACAGTTTTGTAGCACCAGATTACTTTTTTATTGCCGATTTTTGCTACTGATAAAAACGAGGGGTAAGCTCTGTGATGGTGATAATGAATGATGTATCTGATGTACCTTTTTTCTTGGAAACATATAATTTCTTAACACTAAAGAGATCATGCTTGTACAGCCTAAGGATAGATCATTAAATCTTTGTTTATCAAGGGATTTGTGCTTAAAATAATTGTTAATTAAAATACTTAATCTTATGCACCAGATGTATTTATGCAACAGTGCTTCCCAATTGATCACATGTGCAAAATTGTATGATAGTCCCTTTCGTGGTTCCCTGTGCCATCTTGAAAGGTAGCCATGCCCTTGCATTGAAGTGAGGCGAATGGTGAGCTTGCAATGATAGTCCTTTTTTAACACCTTGGACAATATTATTATTCACGTTTCTATCATTGCAAGCTCACCATTGGTCTCGCTTTGATGCAAGGGCAAGGCTACCTTTCAAGATGGCATAGGAAACTGTGAAGGAGAATATTTGTTGAAATGACATTGTATTTCCATGACATTCCATAGGCATGTCCCCTTGAAAACTTTGGAGAACTTTTGCTTGATGTCCATCAAAATCTTCTTCAATGCAACAATGATTATGCACATGCTATTGACAAGTACTGTAACATATAATTATTTTACATTAATTTTTTAACATAAAATTATAACCAAATCTTCATTTTATACCGACCTATTAACTTAAGTATGTATTGAGTTAAATGACTACAAATTCAAGTAAGAATTCTTGCGCTATGTGAAGTGATTATCGATAACCATCTGGATTTTGCATTTGCCATCTCCAAGAATCAGCACCTGGCAGTGAATAAAGAAGATTGTCATTTTCTTCCCAACCAAGTAAATTAATGCTACGAAACTCCTATTAGCAGTATTGGGAAATCCTAAATTATATAGCCTAGCATTTTTGAAAGTGAGTCTCCCGTTTTTTTTTTTTTTTTTTTTTTTTTTTTTTTTTTTTTTTTTTTTTTTGAGGGTACTGTGTGGATCAGGGGAAAATGAGGAATGGAAAACAAATGGGTTAAAGTCTCAACCCTCATATTTTATTTTACAAAGGAAACCAAAATCCAATAATTTTACTGGTGCCTGTCTAAGAAGGCTATCTTTATCAGCACTACAGTCCCTAAATAATTTTTTAAAGTGTAAATGCAATTTGACTTTAGTGCCTTGCTTCACGACAAATGTTTGTACATTGGTTCTAATACATACACATCTCATCCTGTTCTCTTATTGCCTTCCATTTTAACTCCTTTTCTGCTAGTGCTGGGTCAGCATACACAGAGGCTACATCACCAGCTCTGCGCTCAGCAAACTTGTATGGAATCTAACGTATAAAAAAAGCGTAGAGCATATTTTTTTCTGCAGTTTATATTTCTTCACAGCCATTTTCAGGTGGTCTTTAATAAAAGATTTCTCATCATTGTCATTCACATCATATTTTGTCAATATACCATGAACATGACCATTGCATCTTTGTCTCCTGACTTTAAAGGAATGATTAGGTAGTGCAATGTATGCCACAGGTAGCCCACAAATTACAACCAATACCACAGCTAGCCCACCAATTCACACAACCACAAAAGTTATGTATGATATCATCATTTACCTCTTTACCAGAAGCTTTCTCCAGAGCTTTAACCATGTCCAACACAGAGTAGCCTTTTCCAGTACCCAGGTTATAGACCTTTCAACAGAAAACAATCAGTTTCACAACGGCACTCATCACTATCATGCCAAACAAACATTTAATTGGGTTCTTTTTCTTTAATGTGGTTTTCAAAATTCTTTGAACTCAGACATTTCTATGGATTGTTGTGAAATTGGTTTTTTACTGCAGCCAGTCAAGAACATGAACAGTATCCCCTTATTATTTTTGATTGACGGCAGTGAAAAACCAAATTTCAGCATACAGCTCACAACTATTGAGTTCACAGAATATCGAAAACTGCAGCACCTTCCATCCACAATTCTCTTCCAGTTTCTTCAATGCAGCAACATGACCAAGACCAAGATCTACCACATGGATATAGTCTCTCACACCTGTACCATCAGGAGTGTCATAGTCTTTACCAAAGACATTAAGATGAGGTCGTTTGCCGACTGCGACTTGTGTGATGTATGGGACAAGGTTGTTTGGTATATCCTAAAATAGAGTTTCAGATATAACAACATTTACAGTGTGTATTATATTATATTACATTGTGTAGTTATTTCCAGAAAATATTAACAGTTAACCCACTCATGGTTGAAATAGGAATTTCTGGAGGGGAGGGGGGTTAGAGAAAGAACAAAATTACAGAGTTTGTATGGAAGAAATCTGGAAGTTCCTGGGCCTGGGTTCCTTTTACAAACTCCCTCTGTAGTGGGGGTATGGATATTTACTGGAACTACACATTAGAGACCTTGAACTTTAATGAAATATCACCTTCGGATCTTCTCCTATTTTCCCTGAAACATGAGCACCAACAGGATTGAAATACCTTAATGATACAACATTCCAATTCTGAAAATGAAAGTAGAGATAAGTTAAGTTGGGGTGCCTGTCTATACAAAAGCACAGGGATCCCAAAGTCTGATATTTTTAAAGCAGTCAATCAACCATTGAATAAATGGTTGGAAAGAAGGAAGGATGGAAAGAGAGATGAATGGATAGCGGGAGGAAGGAATGGATGGATGCAGGGACAGAGAGATGAATGGATAAAAGGATGTATGGATGGGTGCAAGGGAATGATGGATCATATACTGGGATAAAGGCTTTTTACATTACCTTTTCAGCAAAGCAAAGATCTTTAAGCATTTCTTCAATAAAATACTTAGTTTTACCATAGGGGTTGGTGCATCCCCCAACAGGATGATATTCTGTGATTGGAAGAAACTGTGGATTTCCATAGACAGTTGCCGATGAAGAGAATACCATGTTACAGACACCATGCTCTTGCATACACTAGCATTAAGATTAATTTAAAAAACAAGTTGGTTAGAACTTATTTTCGTACTTGAACATTATCACTTCAAAATGTAGTGAACATAAGGGAAATCTTTGAAGGCTACAAGCCCTCCCAAACGCCTATCTCCTAGCTGTCCCTTCCTGAAAGCAAGTGTTAATTTAGTTGTATGTGCATCTAAACCAGTCAGGACAGGGCACCATGTTGGGTTCTCAGGCAGTCTTTATTAATAATAATTCAAAACTACATATATATGTGATACATGTTACAATTGTCCACATCTACACTAGTTACTTTCTTAACAAAACAATAATTGACAACACTGTACAAGATATACAAAAGATACCAACTATACAACATAAATCACTACTGCCCTGGTTATAGGAAAGCTAATGGAGCGGGTGGGTGGGTAAAGAAAATTGCTGGTGCTATAAATGCTAAAAGGCTAGGCGAGCTTAATATGGTGTAGCTACTGCTACGAAAGTTGAAACGAATGCCTAGATGACGCAGTACGTGTACGTGTACTAATGTGCAAACTAGGTAGATAAGCTGACCGGAAATGCCTACGTAATTACTCATGCTTACGTAAGACCTCCCATGAACCCGACATGTCCTCCTCTRCGTAGTCTAGATTTCTATTAACAAGGTCAATATCCACGGTAAGACTAAAACGACAAACAAACAATGGTGGGAATACTATTTCTCCACAAATGATAATGAATTGATTAACTTACCTGAAGTAAATGTAGAGTACCGGTCAGGTTGTTGTGATAGTATTTTAATGGGATTTTCACTGATTCTCCAACAGCTTTGAAACCGGCAAAGTGAAGAACACCAAGAAATTTATGCTAAGCATAAAGAAGAAAATTTCAATAATTTTCAAATTTCAAATAGTAATATTATTATAAAAGTAAAAATGTATCAATTGTTTTTTGTACAAGCAGGTGTAAGAAGAATATATTCACCTTAGTGAAGATTTTGTCTACCGCTTCTTTATTTAATAAATCATCTTTATAGAAAGGAATGCTTTTGCCAGTTATTTCTTCCACTTTTCTTACACATTCTAAAAATAAGACAAATTGTTGGTGTAAGATTTTTGACAGTTTGCCTTTTTTGAAATTGTTTCATGCATAAATATATGTACTAATGTGATAGCTAGAACTTTCCTGAATTTGCTTGAGTGACCAAGAAATGATGGCTTCAAGTCAAGGTGGGACTTGATGTGTTCAATCCATACATCTATGTAGTTTAATTTATCTAGTTCAACCTTGACTGGAGCCATTGCTTTGAAGTCACTCCAGCAATTTCATGAAATGTCTTTCACAAGTGTTTTTATTGCCCTATATACACTGATCCAGAAAGAAAGTTGTGACAATTTAGACTGATTTACTTGATGCTGATGGACATAGTCTGCTTCCAATCAACCTACCATGACTTTTCTCTCAATCAGTGTAAGGCAATGAAAACAGTGGTAAATTTCTGAAGGATTTAAATAAGCGTTACCAGGGGAACAACTCCTACCAGGATCAGAATTTGACAGGTTATCAACGATAACAACATCATAGCCAGCAGAAATCATCTCAACTATACAGTGACTGCCAATGTAGCCACACCCTCCTGTCACTAGGAAACACTTTGCCATGGCAACTAATCAGAGAAAATGAAAAACATAAACATATTTTTAGTTACCACAGCAACAATGCTTGATTCAAATAAAAAGGTTAGGGAGAGCAGGGAATGAGGAGAGTGAAAGGCTCAGTGCCAGGCCTATAAACAGCTCCCCACTCCTCCTCACACACATTTTTTTGTCTATCCACTAAATTTTGAAGTCTCAGCCCCTTCATTTTTAGTCTTATACATGTATATAAGCTAGTATATTATATTATGCAAACTAAAACTTTTAAGATGCTCTGCTAATCCTTTGGTAAAACAAAGTTTTTGATCCCTAAATATCAGGGCTGCCAACAATTACTCTTCTTGATTATCTGGGAGTCTCTCTGGTTAGTGCCTTTCTTCATCTATATCCAGGGGTTGGCAGCCCTGTTTAAGCAGCTTTACCTTAAGTCCAAAGATATTTACACAAAACTTTGATTCAAGATCCTTAAATTGCTAATATCTTTAATCCCTGATCCCAAACCCCTTGTCATATGTTCAGTGAGAAATATAAATACCAAGTGATTTTCTCATCTACGTAGATATACATGTGACTGATGCGTGTTCCTACTTATAACTGTGTTCATATAGGTCCCCAGACCAAGCATGCACAAGAAGGCTGATCATGTGACAAGTTGAAGAATATGGGGAAAAAACTAATTCAACATTTTGATTTCAATATAGATGACCTACATTTAAGATATTTAAGATTTTAAAATAAAATAAACTACATTCTATACCAAGAATAATTTGTAGATCATTAAGATATATTAATATAACCTTAGTCACATTAATTTAAAGGTAAAGTTAAGCTAATAATAATACTGACAATATAATACACACTGTTCTTGAATCTTTCTACTAGTCGATAATTTTTTTAAAGTGTTCTCAACTAAATACATGTATTTTGAGAAATCTAAATTTTGCAACAAAGCGAAGACTAAAAGGCAAAATAAATATATAATGTAAAAAAATCATAATCATTTTAATTGACATGAAATATTTTATGTACATAGAAATAAAGTTCGACGTGGCAACCACTGATCCAGGTCAAATAATTCAAAAATTTGTAAAGTTTGTGTAAGAAACAAGAATTACCTTAAAACGAAACTATATCATCTTACCTTAGTGAAGTACTGAAAGATAAAACTGACTCTTAGCAGAAACTACGGAAGTAGGATCAGGACAAACACTAAAACACACAAACAGGAAAACTGCCCTCTCAAATTTAATCACGATATGACACAGGAAGCCCAATTTAAGCACTGCTTCGTGAAGTCTCCGAGTAAAAGAATAAATAAAAATCCYTACTTCTTGATACTTATCGGGCTCTTCAAAACCCTTAGGAAGAAATTATTGATCAAAAGCGAAATCTATATTGATTTATTATTTTTATAAGAGCTTTTCATTAAATAGTTACGAGTCAGCGGTCTACTCTTGTAAACTTAAAACTAAAGGGTTACAAATTTCTATAAATTTATAAAATAATTCCTCGGTGAAAATTTGAACATTGATACCAAGTATCTTAATGAAAGGTTTAGTCGTTCAAACATTAATTTCGAACGAAATAAAACTTTTAAATAGTTTACTTCCCCTCCCCTCCCTTGATTAGTTTATGTTTGTTCTCTTGATAAAGAGGCTGGTATACGTGCAAACGAGGTTTGGTCGTCGTCAAAACAAAAATCTAAACTGAAGAAGAAAACTTACAAACTTTAAACTTTTAGCCTTGAAAAAGCACTTAAAAATTACCTCCAAAAAATGGTAAGCCAAGTCATGAGCTTAAATAGCTAATGATATATCGTTGCTGATTGTATTTTTGTTGCATTTAGTCCGCTTCTGACGAGAGATATGCCTTTATGGCCGAGTGGTACGATCCTCAAGCTGCTTTAATGAGAAAATATCAGCTTCTTTACTATCCCTCTGACAGCACCGTAGAAATGGTAAGGAATACGAAAGCTAGAGTATCTTTTAGCTATTTTACTAACCAGAAGAATAGAGATAAAACAAATTTATGCATTTTGAGGGATAATCCCAGCTTGAGGTCGTTGTTGGTTGGTTACTTGTTGAATGTTTGAAAAAGCGCGCGATGGTGATTCAATTTTGCTTTGCAAAAAGGGATGAGTTGGGGGAAAAAAGAGAAAAAGGAAGCAAATTAGTTTTTGCTATATCCATTCTTGTTAAATGGGCAGAGAACCGTGTTTACATTGTTCAAACAAAGTTCTCCATTGTAATGTATTATAACTGTTGCTTGTCTGTCTGTCACAAAAAAGTTTCAAGTTTCACTTACCTCTGTGATTAGATTTTTTCAAGTTTACTCATTTTTGAAGCCAAAAAGTTTGAATCTCCCTGAATTTTGAGCAAGGCAACATAACCTTTTATGATTTAAGGGATTGGCATTGTTTTCAGCTAGTTTTCCTTTCTCCTATTTTCCCATTCATTTCCTGCTACTGTACCTCTTGCCTTCATTGCTAGACAGTCTGAAATAATTGTCAACAACCAAGCATTGCTTGCCTTGAGCTGAATTTAAGTTAATGAATGTTTCCCTTTCTTTCTGGATTTATTTAGTATGACATTAAAAACAGAAGACTTTTCTTAAAGAGATCAGTCATTGATGGCCTCAGAACACCAGATCTTTATATAGGGGCTATTGTTAATATACACTCTCGCCAGGTAAGATAATTATGGCTTTATTTTCTTCTCTTAAATAGTGAATAATGCCTTTAATTCTATCTTTTCTATTCAGTCGACAATAGACTATCAATTTAAAAGCCACATTGCAACCTCAAAAAATGTATCATAATTGTACTTTTTCATTATTCATCAGCTGACAATCACAGATTTTGCTGATAATTTTACTACCTCAAGACTAAAGTCCATTAATGAACAGTAAGTTAGCTCTTCATCTGACAGGTATAGGTCATCTATACATTTATACATCCCAGCCACAATTAGTAAAAAATCTTACAACCCCCCCACTGCAGTTCCAGAAGAGAATTGGTAATTTGTGAGAACTACAAACAGGGATGAGCTAGGGGTGTAAGATCAGTCCCAACCTCCTAAAAAGATATTACTTTTATTCTGGAAAAACATATTGTTTCCCTATGATTACTGATTATTTCCAATGATCAACATCCTTTTTTTTTTCTCCCAGAACTCTAGCCTTGATCAAACCAGATGCATTAGGCGCAGGACATTTGGGTAAGAAGTAAATTAATTATACATAGCTTGTATAGTTTATATACCCTCATTTATTGGAATTAGGAAAGCACAGGGTACAGGTGAAATAAATAATGATGTGTAGCTGTTCTTACCGTTGAGGTGAAATATCCTCTTGTCCTTGAAAACACACGAGTACGGCTAATACATGTACAGGTTGATCACTAAAATGTAAAATGCTGTTAACCATACTATCTGCTGTTAATGTACATATGCCACATTAATTCTATATTTTGCATTTCAGGAAGTATTGTAGAAATGATTGACAAGGAAGGGTTTGTCATCTGCAAAGCCAAGATGGTCAGATTGACAAGGTAATACATTTAAAAAATACAGAGTATGAGGTCAGGTACTTTGAGTATGAAATGTGGGTACAGTTTTAACCGTATTCCAATCTCATTAAATTTTATTATCAGTTGATTGAATAGCATGAAATCCACTTTTTACATGTTCAAAAAGGTTCATTATCTTCATTTTCTGTCTTGTTTATTCACATTATTCACATGCCTGGATAAAATCCTTGATAACCTCTAAATTCAGGCCACACTGACCACCATGATATCATACTAGGCATAATATAGAACATTTCATTTCATTTTTCAGGCAAGAGGCATCAGATTTTTATAAAGAGCATGCAAATCAGCCCTTTTATAAGTAAGTACAAACTTGCATATTAAACCCCTATATATTCACAATAGTCCAAATTATTATCTTTGTTTTATTCTAGTCGTCTTGTAGAATTTATGACCAGTGGCCCTGTTGTAGCAATGGAGCTTAAAGGACATGATGCCATTCAAAGATGGAGAAAACTTCTTGGTAAGGTGGTATTGTAGTACGGATTTTTTTAAATGTTTTAGTGCCCTCTAGCCAAAACCCCCTAAAGGTTTGTGCCCAGAACATATGAAAGAGTACATTAAAAAGGACAGCATATTTACGATATCATAAGACCCAATGAAACTACCATCGTTACCATACCTAACACATAGTTTAGTTTAGTGTATTTGTCACAATATTGTTGTATTAATTTTACAAAACAAAAATYATATAAATTAACATTAATATATATAATATATAATTTATTGGTTGCAAAGGCATCAATTTGGAAGCCAAAAGCTAGCTGCTATCATTAAAAATCTAACACTATCAGAGGAAGAACTGTTGCAATATGTTTGCCTCAGAAGATTATAATTTAAAATAAATGATTTTTATTTATTTATCAATACTTTATTACAGGTCCAACAGACTCAGCCACGGCAAGAGAAAAATCCCCAATAAGCGTGAGAGCCAAATTTGGAACAGGTATTTTAGCCTTGTACTATATGGTGTCAACTTCATTAATTTTTTAATCAAGTTTATATAATTATGGAGATAAAAAATAATGGCAGTGATGATGGATGGTGATGTGTGAATATGATATTAACATTTGCATATCTATGACGAGCCTGACTATCAGAAGTGATGATCACAATCATTATAATGTAAATATGAGGATGATATAGATAACGCCAATTAATTTTTCTGCGTTATCTCTAGACAACACAAAGAATGCAGCCCATGGTTCTGATTCATCTGTGTCAGCAGAGAAAGTAAGTGTCCTGCATGTAGTACAAACCTATTGTATTCTTTGTTAGCTTGGTTCTATTGCTAGTATAACTTGGGGTCTTTTGTTTTTAATATTGAAACCAGAAGATCATGACATAACAAAATAATACAGTATTCGAAAATGTGATAGATATTATGTGGTCCTCTAGCTTGGTATGTTGATGAATGAATGCTTCTTCTATTTATATTTTGAATAGGAATTGAAATTCTTTTTTGGTTACAAAAGACAAAATACAGCACAGTTCAACAACTGTACCTTGTGCATCATCAAGCCTCATGCTGTGGCTGAAGGTTTGTTCATTCATCCCTGTCCAGTAATTATTTAAAGATGGTTTTGTTCGAGTAGAAAAGCTRTAAACTAATTTGATTGTCTTTTTAGGATTGACAGGGAAAATCATATCTGCAATTCTGGATCAAGGATTTGAAGTATCCGCTCTTCAAATGGTATAAGCTTTGATATCAGCTACTATATCTAGTTTTATTAATGATTACGAGTATTTATTCAGGAGTAAGGCTTACTTTTTTTGAAATCCAACAGTATCATATGGAGAGAGCAAATGCTGAGGAATTCCATGAAGTCTATAAAGGAGTTGTCAATGAGTATAATGTAAGTGACTATACCTTTTGTTTCCTTGTTTTTGAAGTAGATGGTGGGTGGGGAGGATGCATTGGATTGAGAGAGTATGGATGATAAATGGAGGGATAGAGGATGATAGAATGGATGGATACATGGATGGATGGATGAAGAGATGGATGGGTGGAGGGATGGATGGGTGGATAAGTGGAGGGAGGGAGGGATGGGTGGATGGATGGATGGATTGATGGATGAAGAGATGGATGGGTGGAAGGATGGATGGATGGATGGATAAGTGGAGGGAGGGAGGGATGGATGGATGGTTTGATGGAGGAAGACGGAGAGGGATGGGCAGATTCGAAGAATGAATTAACCTGTATTTTTGTTTCTTGCTTTCAGAGTATGGTAGTGGAACTGTGTAGTGGTCCTTGCTTGGTCCTTGAAATCAGGGGTCTAGATGCTCCTCAGAAGTTTAGAGAATTTGTTGGACCTGCTGACCCTGTAAGTTAGTAATCATTATTCATAATAAGGAAGATTTTGCATGCTTCAGGGGAAAATCCAAACATCCTCTAGTCAGGGAAATTAAATTTTCCATTGTGTTTTTTGACCCTCCTTAATTTGATAATTACCTTTCCTTTAACAGGAAATTGCCCGTCACCTGAGACCACGAACAATTCGAGCAAGGTTTGGTAAAGACAAGATTAAGAATGCAGTACACTGTACAGACTTACCCGAAGATGGTATACTTGAGGTATGCTTACTAGACTTTAGAAACATTACGTGTGGAGCAGTTTTCATATGACCTTGAACAATTTGGTGTTGTATGTGTTGATTGGCTTATTCTTTTGTTATGCAAATAATGTGATTAGTCTGGCATATTACTTTTGCAGTGTCATGACCATGCTTCGGGTATTCGATTGATTGAATCCAATTGGATGTAGAGTAAGTTCTCACATGATGTGATTGGCATAGCATATAAAAATGCGCTTGTTGTGTCATGACAGTGTTGGTGCCGCAAGCTTTTCACAGTCATACGAAAACTGCTCTGATAGATAGGGTATTCAGAGTAAAAATCTAATGAAATACATCTACGATTGATTTCTATTTTTGTACTCTTTCCTTCCTAGGTTCAATACTTTTTCAAGATTTTAAACCAATAAGTACCAAGAAAGCAGGGGGGAAAAACATCAAAAGTAACTTATTATTCACAATACTTTCTGTAAATATACTTTTTAACCCTATTAACCAGAGCCGGCCTATAAATTGGAGATTTACTGACTGTAAATATAACCTTTTGTCATGGTTTCTAAATATAACCTGGAATAGCAACTGATTTTTGAGAGCTTTCTAACATTAAAATACAACGTTGAGGGGAAAAATTGTTCCATTAAAACATCTTTATAGCTTGTATGGTTTCATTCTTTGCTGTATGCAATCCTTGCTAAAGTGCACACCAACATGTTAAAAATAATATTAGAGACCATGAAATAGTTAGTATACTGGTGGAGGTAACTTAAAGTGCCTATAATGCCTAAATCTATATTTTCAGTATTCATTCTACATGAAGCGAATAGTTGAATGGTAAAAATATTTCATCATTTGTGTGATGCATCGAGGAGATATCAAAGTTTATACTTCCAATATGCTAATGAATGTGATGTCATAGTAGGCATTATTAAATATACAAAACTTTCCTGGGGCAGTAAAATATCCTGTATAAAACATCAGTGTTACTCAGGGTTTATAGAAAGTTTATTGCTAATTTGTTTTCTCATAAATCAGTGTTTCAATTTACAAATGATGACAAATAAACTCAAATTCCTATAATAACATCACAATCATTAGCATATTGAAATTATAAACCTTAGTATCTTCAAAATCCATCACTCAAATCATAATATAAAAATATGCTACCATTCTGAAAATAATTTCTTTTTAAAGTATTTTTGTGATAGTAACACGATCCAACACTGCGTATATCACATGACAGCTAGCACTAAAAAAGTTGAATTGGTATAATCTTATACTGTGTACATAATTTAGTCTAATACCTATTTCACAGGTTTAGTGATCTCACTCTACTTTTCATGGTATACCCTGTGCACTCCCATTCCTAGACCTTTCCCCAAAAAATAACCAAACAAAATAACAGGATTAGTGAAAAACTAATAATTTTTATTCAGCTTGTAATAAATCTTTTATTAACATTGGGTGGTGAAATTCAAATAAACTTTTTTTATAAATAATATTGAATCATGAAGCTGCTAATTCCTAGCTTCTATTGAGATATTTATGTGTAGCTCCTGAAACATCCATATCAACCCCACAGAGGAATTTGGAATTTCCGGGGGGAGGGTCAGAGAAAGAACAAAAATTACAGAGTTTGTACAAAAGAAAATTTGAATTTCTGGGGGGAAAATTCCTCCGTGAGGGGGGTATGGATAATTTGATATTTAAATACCCCATAGTATTGAGCTGACTGTTTCTCTACATAGAGCTATTAAGTTGTGATGTATTTCCAGGTCCAAACTCAGAAAAAGATCACAAAAATCTTGCCACAACTTATTCCCAAGATTTATTTTTCACCTTCCAAGAATTAGATAGATATATGAACACAAAATCCTGCTATGAAGAAGAAAATCAGAATAATGTTTGTAGAAGTAATTATTAATTTGGCCCTGGAAGTCGGGTTTCTTTTGAATTATGACACACTTAACAGCTCTATTGTTCCCTACACTAATGTAATGGTTTCATAAACAAGTGAAATATACTTTAGTTTATTTATCTACTATTACATTACTCTTTTACTCCGACGAAGGACTAGTTCCAAAACGTCAGTTTTTTCATCTTTTCATGGGGTGTAAAATTTATTCTTTTGTTATCTATTGTACTTATCTGACTATTATACTCTAATAAGTACACTTTGTTTCATGGGTTTATGGAACCACTCTTAAAGAAATTGAAAAAGTGTAGAGAAAAACCGAATCCAAATTATTGCTCAATACTGTGATAATCAATCTCAAAAATCAATTGTTTTAAATCATCATTGAAAACCTTAACTTATAAAATATATACTTATTCATATTTTGTAAACTTCGTAACTTATAATGCAATATTTTCTAAGCTGTGCAAAATTCAAGCAGCTCTTTTACCCTTCTAGCAAATAACTTAATTATTTTTTAATGGTTGAACAAATTTACAGTTCAAATCTAAATGTTTTTATGAATTATTTTCATAAATTGATATGTGCAAGTCACTAAATTTGGCTCAATATTTAATGCCATTATCTTTGTGCTGTGCTAATCCTTTCTGTTCAAGGTTTTCAAAGAGCTAGAATTACTGCAGCAATAGTTAGACCCATTATCTGGCCATTTGCTTGCATATAATACAGGTCCAAGTCACCAATATAAACCCATATCGATGGCTTAAAATCCTAAATAACATATGAAAAATATTCAAAATGAGTATAAAGATTTTAGATTAGATGACTGCTACTGTATTTCTAACAGAACAGCTAAGTATATAAAAAAGTGTGGGCGAAGAGTTAAAAAAATATGTAAAGGAGGGAGAGTAACCCTATTTCTGGAGTTAATCCTAGTAATAGGGCTACTCTAGCTTTTACTTTTCCTTTGATTTGTTTTAATCCCTTTACTTGGGTTACCTTCCCTGCTTGTAAAGAGACCCTTAGTTTTCTATTCCTTTTTAGCACTCTTTTGTTGCATCTTAATCATGAGCATTAAGAATCTCATTATACTGCGAAGTCTCTCAACAACAGAAGGCATAGCAAGAATGATAAGTTTGGGCTTGTCTTGTAATGGAAGAGCAGCCAAAGCCCACCAGAGCCAAGAAGGCTGGTCATTTGTACTGGGATTGAACTCCTCCTTCTCTGGCATGCTGCCAATAGCATCAATAATACATTTCTGCTGTTGCGATTTCAAGCAGTTAAACCAAAACTCCAGCATCTTGAATCCATTTGCATGCAACTTTTTGATCTCCTCTGCCTCCTCTTTATCATCTTCAACTTCATCAATCAGCCATTTTACTTTGGCCACATTGTATCCATCCTTCATATAGTGAGAGATCAATTGGAATCGTCTGGTTCCTATTGTGTTAATTAATGAACGACCATCTTGTAAGTAGGCTACCTCTTTGATCTTGAGGATTGTACCAATAGTTGGAAATGAGGAATCTTCATTTATTACGCACATGCCAAACTGCTTTGATCCAGACTCTATGCATCGGCGAATCATCAGTTTATACTGGGGTTCAAAGATGTGTAATGGACAAGGCACAAATGGGAAAGCCAAGGTACAGATGAAAATTGGAATTTCAAACTCTGAATCCTCAACACTCCTGAAAAGGACAATTTGTAAAAGAACACATTTAAGTGTTAGTGAAAAAGAACAAATTTGAGAATAAATAAAAATTAAAAAAGGAGCAAATAAATAAAGATTTAGCCAAGGCATGTCCACTGCATCTCAAAGGATAAAAATAGAAAGGAAGGCAGACAACATTTTTACCTTCGGGTCTTACTGTAATCAGTATAAAATTAAGTCTAATTAAGTCTAACTAAAAACTTCAGGTTAACTAAAACATTATATGTACAGGGTGAAAGTAAGAGACCAATGTATATATATTATGGGCATAGCGAGGTTTTGATTATTGGGTTGGGGGGGGGGGGGGTGTTGCAATGTAACGTTTTCCTGCAAAATCCACAGGAATCCCACACGAGTATATTGGGTTTTATTGCCAAAAAGTGTTTTCAGAGAGAGAAAAACTGAAAACCTGGGGAAACCTCAATACATAAGAAAGAACCAAAAAGCAATTCCACTTTGCTTTCAAGGAAGACATGAAATTTAGAGCACGCCATTTTCTTTGGATCTTGACTTGGCATTGCATGGTTCCTGGCTAATCAACTAAAAACATGATGCCCAAGTTTCGTTCTTTCGGAATATTATATTATGCTATAGAATTAAAAATTCAATTTACGATCTAAAACCACCCAAGGTTTAATGCCCTTTGAGCGGCGGTCCTTTTGTACCCCGCTAGAAAGCCAGTACAAAGAAATTTTTTTATTTTGTTCTAGCCCACGGGTTTTAAATAATTATGTAAACAAAGGCTCACGTTTTATACAAGGCGACTTTTCAAAGGACTGTTGGAGGCGTTATGTAATACGTTATGTAACAAAAATCTCATTACCTTCTCAATGCCAACATTTCCTGCTCGTAATTTTTATCCCTCATTTCGTATTCTTTGCTGAAGAGTTCCTTGATAATTATTTCCAAAACAACAGTGACATTCTCTCTTCTCTCGGCTAGATATTTGTTAAGGGGTGTCCGACAGCAAGGACAGTCCACACGAAAGTCCAAACTCCTCCTGAGACAATCTTTACAAAAATTATGTCCACAAGGGCTTGTTACTGGTTTATAGAGAAGACTACAGCACAGTTTACACTCGAAATCTTCTAATAAACTCTCACTGTTAGACTGTAAAACTTGGACTACTGTGTCTTGTCCTGTGTTGTCGAAGTCTGTAGTAGATGTTGACGATGGCGTCGAAGTGGGCTTCTTTTCAAAGCTTAGTTTTAATTCCATTTTATCCTCTTTGTCTGAAGGGAATGAATTATTTTCACTGTTATCATCTAAATTACACTCCGTCATCGCAACGTCGTTATCCGTAGCTCCAAAATCACAGTCATTTGACATTAAAGACAGCGTTTTTCTCTCTCCGGTAAAGAAATTCGCAGGCAGCACAGAACCCTTTATCTGGCTAAAATCGGGCAGACGAAATAACTCAAAGAGACCTGATTCTAGCTCTTCTTGTATTTTAGAGTTGTGAGGCTCAATAGCAGCGCACTGAAGAAGAGTAAACACGGATTGTTCACGGTTACCGGCTCTTAAAAGAATTCTGCTCTTACTGTACAAAAGCCGTATTGAATTAGGAAGAAGGCTACGAGCCAGTTCGATGTCCTTTAGAGCCAAATCTAACATCTCTAAACAAGAATAACACTCAGCCCGCCAGCCTAGACAGTTCACATCGTTTGGTTCTTCCCCAAGAATGAAAGAAAATACCTCAATAGCTTGGCGGTATTTGCCTTGAACCATAGAAGTTCTTCCTTCTATTTTCTTCAAACCCAATTCGTACTTTTTTGGAAACCACTTAAAAATAATATTGCAAAGTAAAAAAGTAGGAGCCTTTAATTCTTCGTTGTTAGTCGTACCGCAAATAGTACAGACCTCACTAGAAAAATCATCCTGGAGGCAAAATTTGCAAAAAGTATGTCCACAAGGAAGAGTAATGGGCTCTACGAACGAAGAACTGCACAACGAGCAAGTTAGCATGTCGTTCTTTGATTGTTCACTCCTTTTTTTCTCTTTAGAACTCTTCTGGAACATTTCTTGTTCTATTCTCTTTGTGTTATAAAACTTGACCAGCGCTGCCGTAAGAGTTTTGACTTGATGCTTTTCGAATTTTCCTCGGTTAAAAGCTTCTGAGAACAACCTAAAAGCTTCGTGCAGTCGTCCATCGCGTGCCATTTCTTCACACTGCTCTAGTAGGAGAGCTGGACGATTTTCATGATCACGCTGTCTCCATTGCGATCCATCGTATTTATGTGTAGGCATCCACTCAGCCATTCTACTAAAAATAAAATCGCCTACACTGGCTCTAACGCACTCACCATCTCCGGGATCAAAAGCGCTAATTGTGATGACTGTTAAGATTCGTGATATTTTTTAAAGTTACATAACCACACGACGTAACAAGTATTATTTAGGTATTATAATCAAACGGGGGCACGTGAACTAAACCAATATGGACCAGTAAGATTCTTTGCTAAATTTTCAGTCTATATTATCTTATGAAAACAATCAAAAGAAAAGAAAGATCTTTATACATCAATAAAGGTCATGAAATTGCCTTTCCTTTATTTCGAAGTCCAAAGTTTGTGAATATTTAGATTTTTTTAGTTACGTAACGTGTGGTTATGATATACGAAAAATACGAAATACAACCACTGAGAAATTAACTGCTTTTAAAGAAATATTTTCAAGTAATTTACAAAAAAGCCGAAAGAATCAATACGCTGGGTTTCAGAGGGATTTTTTCCGCGGATATGATTTTATAATCCTCGGAAAGAGTCCCTCTAGAATGTACGATACATGAACACGTGATTTTCGAGGCAACGCTTTTGAGGACACGTGACTGACCAACGTGCCCCTTCATTCACACAACCCTCAATATTTCACATCATGCTACCCACTAAATTGTTAAATGTATACAGTCCTTTCAATGTACCCAATTGTGGTACTTAAATACCATTATAAATAAAGACGAATTTCATTTTTTTACAACAAATGCCTTTGCGGCTGGTCAGTAGGCTCTTGCATAACAGTCCGGTTTATTGGAATAAACCTGTGGTGCTAAGGTTCCCGATTTTCCTCCACGAAATCTAACATGCTGTGTTAATCTGACCTAGAGTTCTTTCTGTTGGCCCATATGGTGGCTCTGGCATTGATTTTTAACACAGGAGACCCAATCTCAGTACACGCAATCTCCGTATCGAGATGTTATGTAAGAGCTAGAGTTTTGAAGAGTCACTCTCGTTGCCAGAGCCTGCGCTAATGCTCCCTGCCCTTTGAGATGGGTTAACACGTGCCACCTACATCTCGGGAACGAAGCATGAGAGACTTGTGTTGTCAGTCATCTGACCACGTGACATGACGTGCGCCACATATCACGTGACTTACGAACCAAACATTTCCGCCGATTTTTGCGAATACTCATTACAATGAATGCTATGGTAACGAAACTTGGTACGATGGGTAAGACTTGTGTTGTCAGTCATCTGACCACGTGACATGGCGTGACGTCACATACCACGTGACTTGCGAACAAAACATCGCCGATTTTCGTCAATAGTCATCATATAGACACAAAAGAAAACAATGGAATTAGGGTCTACCAATGTGTATTGGTCTAATATATATTTCACGGGTTTAATGCCTTCACTCTATTATTATTATCAATGCTATTTTGGTTATATTTAACAATTATTCGCCGAAGGCGAAGTGATTAATCGGGGAATATTTACCGAGACGCGAGGTAAATATTCCCCAATAATCACTGAGCCTGAGGCAAATAATTGTTTTAGTATAAATACACAGGTGATTCTTTAAAAAAAAGAAAAAGAAAGAAGATGAAAGGCATTTTTTTCCGGTAACAGCAACAAAGCGGCTGTCCGCCGTTTTGGATTTTCGYTGTGATAGTGTGAGTTTCTTGACCAATCAGCGCGCGAGATTTTCTATAATCACCTGCGTATTTTTACTAAAAAAATATAAGAGTTCTCCAGACATTTCATTGATGTACAAATCAGTTTTTATTAAAGAAGCGACACCATGGATATTAATATTCTAGCAAACAGGTGATATTACAGTCATGAGATAAATTAAACTCGAATTGAAATAAGTTAGCGAAAAGTGAAAAAAAAAAATAGCAAAAAAGAACGACCCTATCCAACTTGCTTACAGATCAAAATGAAACTTTTACATAGCAACTTCAAAAATTATGAGTATTATGTAGGCACTATATGTTTTGCAACGTCTTAAGCTAAGCTGCCCCCAAATGGGACAATTTCTAACCAGTAGAGTTCTACCATTTTGTATTCTGGTTTAAAATGTTTGTTACGGAAAAAAAAGATTCTGCGGTTTTTATCAGGATATGGAATTTATTCATTGCCATTTGGGAACCATCTCATATCCATTCATCCCATAGCTCTCATCCATCCAAAACCCATCTATTTCATATTGAATTAGGAACCCAGTTATTGTGTGAGACCAACACAGCACAAAAATTCCAGCCTAAAGATTTTTTTGTTTCACCTGTGTATAAGGGTTTACAGTCAAAACGGCTCAAGCTTACCCTTCTAGACTCCATTAATGGCTTCAGTATTCGGATATTGAAATCTATTATTCTTTCTGATGGGAAGAAACAAGATTCAAAATAATAACCAATTCAAAATTTGAATTCTGATTGGATTAGGGTGTTCCTCAAATGGAATAATCCAGTCAGATATTGAGTTTTGAATTCGTTATTATTTTGAATCCTTTTCTTCATATTCTCGAAAAGAATAGTAATTTTCAATGTTCAAATAATGAAACCAATAATGGAATCTAGGTGGTAAGCTTGAGCCATTTTCACTGTAATAGGGAGTGCRCTTCAGTGAAAAGAGTTACAAGTTCTTTTTAAAATGACATACAATATAAAATAACATAATAATTACAGTGACTTATGTTCAATATACTACGATGTTGAAATGCTTAGTTAAGAGGCTAATGTTCCATGCTTTCTTCACCTTCTATTGGTTTGGAGGTGCTGTCTGCTACCAATTCTGACTTTGCAGCTTCAGCTTCCCCTTTGAAGATAACCAAAAGAGTTTATGAACAACRACATAATCATTTTAGAAATCCAAGTCTATCTTGGTTTGAGGGCTTTTCTCCAGGTTCTCCAGCATTGCTCCCTCCCCAAAACTCAACACAATATATTTCAATCAATCTGTGAGTTAGAGGTGCCCTGACTTAGATCGGGCCAGAAGTTGTTTCAGGGTTCGATCTGAAACTAGCTGTGCCCTGACTTAGATCAAGCCAGAGGTTGTTTCAGRATTCAATCTGTGAGTTAGCCGAGCTCTGACTTAGATCAGCCCAGAGGTTGTTCCAGGGTTTGATAAATTTAAAAATTTTGGAGATCAAGGCATCCTACCTGGAGGGCTATCTTCAGCTTCCTCTGCTTTAGAAGATTCAGTTGCCGGTTTGCTGTGAAATATCAAATACAATAATTATCAATTAGCATTTAAAATAGCAAGAGAATGATTGCATTTACAGTGCAACTGCTATAACTGGGGCAACCTAGACAGTGAGGACCAATCAAATTGTAAAACGAAAACAATACATTCCAAATTTCCAATCAGAAAGCAGCAGAAAACGATAGCCTTTCAACATATCTTTTTATTCCCACAAGAAAATGAAGATGGCTATCTATTTGTTTACCAGTCTAGGTTTCTGATTGGCTCAACATTGGCTTGGCATTGTTTTCGAAATCATTCTACAATATTGAAACATTTGAAAAAGTTCCCTTTTTTGGACTTTTTAGGTTATTTAAAGACTATATCCTGAACTTAGTATATATGTACTATATATAATTGTGATAGATTCGCAATTATTCACCAAAGACAAATAATCATTATTGATGAATGTTATTTTACTGAGATACAAGTCTTCAAGCAGCAAGGTATATTAATATTCACCATAATTACTGAGATGAATAATCAATGATTAATTTATATCAATTACTACTGTAAGCTAGGGCCAATCATAACTGCTTCAGTAATCTCTACCCATATACCTTTTTCTCCAATCACTTAGGATTGAGGGTTGTCAAGGACGACAGTCTTTGAACAGACAATTAACCCATTTTAGAACAAGTACCATTCCCTAGAGTATTATTTCTTTTTTAACGGTTAAGCAGGGGTAGACACATGAATATGGATATAACTTTAACAAAGAATCTTATTCTCTGGGGAATGACAAGTGCTCCGAAATGATAAAAAATTTGTTTTTGTTTTCTAGGCTTGGGTGATATACCTGGGAGGTTCTTTTGCTGGTTCAGATTCAGCTACTTCCATAGGCTCACTTGCCGGTTCTTCCTTAGCAGCTTCAGAGCTCTGAGCATCAGCCTCAACAGGACTAGATGTTGAAATAAAATAAAATAAATATATTTAGTAGTTACATACTAGCTAGGAGTCCTGGATAAGGACTTGCGCACATGTTGTCCATATCTGGACTGACATTAGGATGCTTAACAATGTCTTCTTTTCTCCATTTACTTTTCCCACTTTTTTTGCAATCACTTTCGTTACCATGCAATCCCTTATAGCATGCTTATGCATACCGATGGTGTAAGCAGCCTGGATACCAGACCACGGTAAGAGATAGAAAATACCAGCTGCTCTCACACACTGCCAATCAGAATGCAAGAATCTTAGGATATTGAATTGAAAAAAATRAAATCACTATTTTGAGAGATCTGCCCTTGAACAATGCAACATATTACTGATTAATTTGTTTTGCTGTGTTTAAGATCTATAATTATAAAATAATTGGGATACTACGCGCGCTATGATTGGTCAAAAACCATGTTTGATGAGAGTATCAAAACACTCTGTCATCATTTTAGCGCGCGCGAGTATTGCATCTGTCAGATTTTAATCTATCGTGCGCACTCATTGGTCAGTTTGAATAAGACGGCACGTAGGGAGAATTTACTTAGGCTTTGCTTTTTTTTCGATTTTTTCGCGTGTTTGTCATTTCGTAAAACAAATCAAAAACAGTTTTCCATGTTTGACACTGATCAAAACACTTGGGACGTTCCTCTCGTGTTATCTCAACATTCTGCATGTTTTGATCAGGGTATCAAACACGGAAAACTGTTTTTGATCTGTTAAACCAAGTGACTGCTTTTTCACTGAAGGTCATCAGAGCCATARCAATGGTCTAAGGATTTGCAGATTTTTTGTTGAAAAAGGCGAAGGCAAAATTTATGTTACCTGGTTCTGCTAGCTTCAGGAGCTGTAGTTGTTTCCTCTGCGATGTCAGCAGCAGTTGTACTACCTACAGTCTTGGGAGAGCCTTCCCTAGGAGAAGTTGTTCCACTGGAGGGGTTGGTTTTGTTTTCTGGTGCAATAACGGSAGCAGCAGGTTTTGTTCCCCCATTATTAGTATTTTTAGAACCAGTAGATCTGGTTTCATCATCACCATTTGCATTCTCGGCATTTCCATTTGCTACCATGTTTTCTATAGGGTAGGTGCGATTTCTTTTACGGGAGCGTCCTTCACGGCCAGAATGGTTGTCACGGCGACCATCTCCCTCATCCTCTGAATCGGAGAACTCTTCCTCACATGCAATACGCTTATCAGAAGCACGTACTGGAAATAATTTTTTAATTAATATATTTAATAAATCTATATGTTGTCCATTTGACCTACTCCGTTTTCCCATTTTGGACCGTGTGTCATTCCCTAGAGGAACATTTCTTTGTTTAACTGTTGCACATGTCAAGACACATGAACAAGGATACAACTCAAACAAAGAATCTTATTGTTAGGAGAGTGACATATGAAGTTAAATGGGAAAATATTATGTCTAAATGGATGGAGTCCATTGGAAAATGGTATTAGGGGGGAAATGGGTAAAGTAATTGGATTACGTCAAGTGCAGAAAATTCGAGGGGGGGAGGTTTTTTTTACTATTTATTTGGATGCCATTAATACGAATATTTCTTGTTCTCATTCTACTTACTGCTTATTCTTTGTTCTGGATCCTCTTCATCTTCATCTTCTTCCTCTTCTGGTAAAGCATCTTCTGGTATTGCTGTAAAAAAAATGTGGGGGAAATTACACAGAGGAACAACAGTAAAATATAATAGACCCCAAAGTTGCGATCAATGTAATAATGAGTTCTTAAAATTTCACTGATTTAAACAAAATGTAAACTGGAGCTCTAACATAGGTCTCTGATATCAACAAAATGGAGCTGCTGGCCAAGTTTCAGTTTCAAACACAAGCATTATGAGCAACAAAGAATATTGTTTGTATCAGGAAAGGCATTTCGAGGGATGAACATGATAGATAGTTTAACTTACGTTGCATCTGGACACCAGGGGCATGAGGAATCATCCTGAGATTCTCAAACAAACGCTGCCTTTAAGAAAAAGAACACAATCAAAATTAATGAACTCGATTCCTTCTTATAATCAGGGCTACTGTAAAAATAATTGCCAGTTATTAGACGTTGTCCAGCCAGAATTAGAACTTGTCTGGTCAAATCTTTGCCTTGTGGACATTTTTACCAGTAATGTTGAGCCAGAGGCAAGGTTTGACCATGCAAGCTAAAACTAATTTAGGGTTTTAGCAGAGTTTCTCAAGTGCATTTCAAAACGTGAATTAAATTCAAGGAGTTTTCAAGAAGTTTAAAGGGTAGCATGACCCCAGGGGGGGTGGGGGTACTCTGCTAGGATTTGGGTAAGCCCTGTCTTAGCCCTGAACATATGAGAATTTAAAGAATTAGAATCAACCACTGACTTTAGGTTTTCCAATCTCAAAGTCCCAGTGAATGCATAAATCCGTACTTACTTGATTTTGTCCAGGTAATCAGGTGTGTTTTGGTTGGTCATGTTTGATGGGCTGATGTGAAGTTTAAAGTCAGGGCCAAAATACTCAAAATAATCATTGTAGGGTAACTCGTTTGCTATATCAGCATCCAAAGCCACTGACGTTTCATATGTCCAGCACCGAGCAACATTTCTTATTGTGTATCCCCCTCCGCCAAGAATCAACAGTGGTAAACCAAACTTCTTGACAAAATCCACACACTGAGCATGTCCCTTGAGTGACAGGTTRAAGCAGCCGAGTCTGTCACCTGCGAGGGAGTCTGCACCACACTGGAGTACTACAGCATTGGGTTGATAAATCTCCATCACCTTGGATATAATCTGAGAGGAAAGCAGGAAGGAATTAAGAAAAATAAGCAAAGAATCAATCACTTCATCTTTTACTCAGAAGAAGGATGATGTCGATAATGTCAGTATAGTACTAAACTTTATCATTAATTTTTGTTGTATTCAACACACCAGCACAGGTTAAAACTTGTATTCATTCAGAGGCAAAAAATATATACTTCTCTAATCATTGGATGAGTAGTTTAATAGTTGAATTATACAACTTACAGGCTGGAATATCTGTTGGTAAGATTCATCTTCAATACCATCCCTCAGAGGGAAGTTAACAGCATAGTACTTGCCTCTTCCTGCACCAATATCCTTTTGAAACACAAGAGTATTACCAAAGTTACAACATAATCGTTATATTAAACTGTACAACAATCACAAATTATTTATTTATTTATTTACCCTCAAATCACCAGTGCCAGGGAAGTATTCTCCATATTTGTGAAATGAGACAGTCATGACTCTGTCAGTTGTATAAAAAGCTTCCTCCACACCATCACCATGATGGATATCAATATCTATGTACAGAACTCGTTGGTGATATCTAGAATTTTAAAAAATGGACTTTGTTATGATAGCTGGCTTTGAAAAATGTTGATGGAAACACAATTACATTAACTGGTTAGTTTTAAAAATATAGAATTTTGGTAAAAAGGAAAGGAAACAAAAGAAAAAGAAAGAAAAATTAGACAAAAAATGCAGCCGACTCTAAGAATCACTAACAAATAATAATAAAAACAAACACTAATAAAACTAACAAATTTTTAAATCACATGAATTTTTCATAGCATGCGTTAAAATTCTTCAGTGTTGTATACAAACTTACTTTAGCAGTTCCAAAATAGCTAGAACAATATCATTTACATAACAGAATCCTGAGGCCTCAGACTTCTTTGCGTGATGAAGACCTCCTGCCCAGTTGACTGCAATATCAGTCTGTGTCTTGTTCAACTTGACAGCACCAGCTATGTAAGGGAAAAAATTAAAATTTATTTCAATAATGTGTGTGGCATATTTCAAACAAATGTTTATCATCAGACATGTCAATCCTGATATGCTTTACAGAGATATTAAACAGAACAAGTGTCGGGAAAAATCTAAKGCCTCAAACAAAACTCAAACCCACAAGAAAATTTCCTATAAATCATCATTGTATTTACATTTTCGTAAATGTTCAAATAATGGATGCTTCTTTGTCTTTTTCTAAATTTCAGCATTTGCTTCATTATTTCATAAAATCCTGAAATCGCCTCTAAGCTGATTTAAGTCAGGGCACGGCTAATTCACAAATCGAACCCTAAAAAAAAACTCTTGGCTGATCTAAGTCAGGGCATGGCTAGCTCTGACACAGACCAATCCCTGAAACAACCTCTGGGCTGATCTAAGTCAGGGCATGGCTAGCTCACAGATCAAACCCTAAAACAACCTCTGAGCTGATCTAAGTCATGGCATGGCCAACTCACAGATCAAATCGGAATTTAGTTTGCTGTGTTTTGCAGAGGGTGGAAAACCTAGAGAACCTGGAGAAAAACCCTTGAATCAAGGGAGAAACCTAACAAATTCTTTTCAAATGTGATGGTAGAGTGCAGGAATTCAACCAAAGACCCCAGAGATAAGAGGCAAGTTCACTAATGCTAACAAAGCATATCAATTTGCATTATTTCTTCCTAAGTCATACAAACACAGATAAATTGCTGATTTGCATTATGGGTATTCTTAGAACAATCAGAATTATTCTTACCTAAAGATCCTCCTGTTGACAGTTGACAGAACTCGTACAGACCATCAAAGACAGGACAATCTTCGCCTACATTGACTGAAAAAGAAAAAGAAATTATGTTTATTCAACTATAAACATGAGTAGGGAATTATGACTTAATTCTCAATTCTAATTAAAAAACAAAAGGTTTTAGAGTACTGTGGATTCACCACTTTCCATATATCAGCTTACTATTCAAATGCAAAGCATTCAATCGAGGCTACAAGGTTAAAATTTGAAAAAATCCTTATCAATATGTTACTGCAAACTGCGAACACAAATATTTCAATAGCTTCTTGTGAAATTAAAAGATTTTTGCTGCCACCAGTCAAAAATAGGAGAAACAGACTTATTATTTTTGATTGGCAGCAGTGAAAAACCAGATTTCAGCATGCAGCTCGAAACAGTGATTGGTTTCAAAAATACTAAAACGTGTTTATAGATGTTGCATCTTGGTATTAACACCAGGGATAAAATTAACAAATTAAACAATTCAATATTTCTTTTAAGAAATCCAAGACTAACGTGGGATATTTTCTTTAAGTGAATTTTCCCTTTAAAAGTAAAATATTATTTGATAAGCGAAGGTTTAGTCATCAAGTCGTGCACTCTGATCTCGAACTTGTCGCAAAACGAAAATTTTATAATTTTTCTTCTTAAAAATCCTTAAAATAAGAATATTTAAGCCATATTTATGATTCAAAAAATGCTAAGACTCTTTCTGATTGCGGATATAGGTCCTTTAAGTTATTTTTGTGGTGCACGTAGGTTTTTTTAAGGTTAGGGTTGAGAGGAGATGACAGGAAAAATAGGAAATTGGAAAAATGTACAATGGAGAAAAAGGCATGGTTGATACTTACATCGCTGCATCTGTTTGGTGTAGTCCGACATGTTGTCAGGTCGAATTGTCTTCAAGAACTTCACATAATCATCCGAGTGATATTTAGTCATTTCCTCCAAAACTGCCTTGTGAGGTCGCTAAAAAACAACAAGAAACATTTCGATAATGCAATCATCAATGCATTCATGTTCATTCAGTCTTGCAGTATTGACAGCCCAGCTCGATCACGAAGTTTCACGAGCTCGTGCTTTGCCGTAGGACTCCCAAAATCCCACCAAAAGTTACTCACATAAATCTCCATCTTTCTGTAGAGTCCATAGTTGAGAAGCAAGTTGTGGGTCATTCGTATTCGGTGTGGTTTCATAGGATGTCCTTGGCCATAGTAGTAGTTGCCGATGTCACCTATTGTTCATAGACACCAAGCAAGCACATTTCAAACTACTTCGAGAACTCGAGTTTAARGCTACTAAAATTTCCAAAAATTCACAAAAGCATTCTCTGAGGCCTAATCTATCTCTGTGTGTGGATTTATCGGGTAAATAAGACTTACCATCGTAATAATAGCAAACTCTTTTCTTGCCGCCAGGTTGTGTGTACGCCATGCCGGTTATAACTATTCGAAGTTTGAGATAAAACTGAGTGACGGGGCTTTAGTCACGTGATTAAAAAGGCGGAGCTTGCACTCAAATCGTCCAATCAGATTCTTTAATATCCCTCGTGGATATCGTCTAATAAATCATTTTTACCTCCCCCGTAGAAACTATAGACTCTAATAGACATTAATAATATTTAATATGAATGTGTATAGCGGATATCCTGAATTTTTCAAAGAAGGTCGGAACTATCGACTAGCTCTATTTCAGCTCCAAGACTCTGGCCAACTGGCCAACTTCTCTGACTAACTTTATAATACTATATAGTATTTCTACTGTGCCTGTACTAGCTTTCGTTTAAAACAGAAAAATTTAACTTGCTGGCTGCTATGTTCATAGTCTGCCTGGCATCCAGTCCTCGGAAACTAGTACCTTCTCGAAAGTTTAGTGACATCAGGACAAAGTTCTGTCAGTTGAGCACGAAGGCAGTCTTCACCCCCCTTCCTCGACCGGCCCCCCCGTTTTAGAAATGTGTACTCGGAAATGCACGACTTTCCGCCTTTAGCTGTCAAGTGGAAGGAACTAAGATACCCTGATTATGTGTCTACGCACGTTTTAGTAAACAATTGTACGTGACGTCACTCCCAAAGATTTTTCCATACGTCACTGCTATTGGAAACGTTTTTAGAATTTCGTTATCAGGGGTTAGATTTCCTCACGTCAACAACACTACACGTCAAAACGTTTAAAAGCATGATTTAAAATCACATTGGCACTAATATTGGTAGTTGTTTTTTTTTGAGAGGGAGGAGGGGAGGGGAGTGAAAGTCTATTTACACAGGGATCCCACCGCATTTAAAATACGACTACGCACCATAGCAATGAAACAGTTTATTTCTAAGTTAATAAGTAAAATGATTGTGATTTTACTACTGGTAATAAAAAACGAGCCAAATTTCTTAAGTAATTTGTATATTCCTAATTACTTTCCAAAAACCGCTGCTATATTTTTTTTCAATTTCCAAAGTAGAATGCAGTTTCATATTGAATTTCTAGGTCAGTTTATGGATAAAAAATTTAAAGATACTTTGAAAATAAAGTAGATATTTCAAAATGTTCAATATTCAGCAAAAACCACTTAACCTGCGATAACCGACCACCCCTAATGAAATTGCCTGGTGGTCGCTTAATGCAGGTCGAAATTGATCGACTTGTCTGTCTGTCTGTCTTTCTGTCACAGTTGCATAGTAGAATTATTTACAACTCATCGTGATCCCCTCCGTTGGCCATAGGATCGTCTACGAATACTTTGTGGTTTTTCATGATTTCATCCATGGACAGTTTACCATCCTTGTCATCATCAGCCTCTTTGATCATGACTGGCGGTTCTTCAAGTGGCATGTCCTCGTCAGGGAACAGCCATCTCCGGATCTCGTCTTTTTCGAGTTTGCCATCCTTGTTCTTGTCGTATGTGTTTGAGAAGTCCTTTTCTAGTTCAGCCTTGGCATCGGGGTTAAGATCCTTGTAGGATGCTAAAAATGGGAATAAGAATGAGATGAGAAATGGGAATGGGATGTAAAGATGTAAGATGTAATTTAAGTTGCAAAATCTGGGAAACTAATTGAAATAAGACAGGGAAGAGATAGATTGCATAAAAAATACAAATTTTTTATCTAAGATCATCGAGCATAAAAATGGTAATTTGCAATTCAAGTTCGTGAAAGCTTACCGAAGAACTCGTCTTTCGACAAGTCACCGTCTTTGTCTGCGTCGTATTTCTTTAAAGTTTCAGCAATAACAAAAGCAGACATGCGTTCATCATCCTGCAGAACAAAAATGGACTTTTAGGACAAGCCAAACCATATGAACACCATTTTCTTTGGTGATTGCAGCAAAAGCTGACGACTTTGACGAATGTCCCCTCGTCGTCCCTCCTTCCCCCTCCCCTCCCCCCCCCCC